CTCTTTGTTGGCTGGCACAGCAGTTTTGGGGTCGATGCAAGTCATCGGGTTTTGAGTCCCACGGGTGGGACGGACTATGTGGGCACAGCTTGCTCTCTCCTTTGTCACTTGACTTCTTGGACTACTCTCTAGCCGAAGTGACGGCTCTGGTATCTCTTTATTAATTAACATGACATTCTGTTACCTTCTAAAATCGCCGCGATGCAGTTCTACACATGGTGAAGTAGAGAATACCTTGAAGATATCTCGTTGGAATGGTAGCAAAGTCCGACACTGCTCGCTCACTCTTGAGCTCATTCCATGGGTACCCATCACTCCGGGAAAGTATATGTACTATGTTCTCAGTTTCAAGTAGCTCTCTCTGCCCACAAGATATACAAACAATTACTCAAGTTGCTTTGAACTATAATCGCTCAAAGTTACAGACGCGGACACCATATCATGGAGACTAAAACGAATAACCAACAGCGCTCACCATTTTTGCGTCTACCTGGGGAACTAAGAAACGCCGTGTACGCGTATATCTTCGGCATCAACGACATAGTAGTCGTCCGGCGACATCTACTAAGCATCCATCCACATCAACCCACCATCGGTCAGTGTATCTATGTCCTTGGTATCTGTCGCCAAATCCGGGCCGAAGCCACACCATTTCTCTATTCCAAATCCAAGACATCAGTAGACGAGGTTGCGGATGTGAAAAGGCTCGCTACTTTCTCTGGTCATGAAGCCATAGTGCATATCATCATCCCTTGGAGAACGGCTTGGACGTTGGTGTTGATGAACAACAGATCTTGCGGACTTGCGGATTTGGGGTCACGGCGCAATGCTATGTTTCATTCGTTCAAGGGGCTTAGGAAGGTGTCGATTACGCCCCAGTACCACGAGGTAGATTCTAGGGACGTGTTTCTGGCTATGCAAGAGCCATTCAATGATCCTGAGCTAGAAGTTGTTTGGTGGCAGGGGTCGACACACTGAGATGGGTACGAGAGTGGTTGAAGTGTAAGATTGAAGTATCTGAGTGATGCGCGGAGGTATACGATATATTGTATTGTATTCCAATAACCGAATGCTGTGGTCGCTCTTTCACTCACCTTCATCTGATCAGTTGGTCCAAGCTCATTCGCTCGCGTGTTGAAAACCTTTCGATTGCTTTGCAGCACCAGCTCTCACACTACCTTGCTTACGATACTCGCATTCAGTACACTTATATGCTGACAACGATGGAGCGTGAAGCCATGTAAGCGATACTCCGCAACTATTGGAGGCAAAATCGCTGACAGAACTGCTAGCACTGCCGCCAACCAGCTCAGATCTCCTCTCCTCCGACTACCGGGCGAGATCCGAAATCGCATCTACGGATACGCGTTTTGCGGAGAGGACAATACCGACAACGCTCTCCTCAAGACGTGCAAGCAGATCGAGCACGAGTCAAAGCCAATTTACTACTCTCACCTTACCCTTTCGCTCATGCGTATCGGCGATATCAGACCCTTAATTGCTAGAGTCAGACCAGAACTACTTGCGATGGTCAAGTCTATGCGTTTAGGGGCCGTAACGACGAGAACAATGGCGATCACAAGGCTTCAAGACGCGGCCGGAGATGTTCCGTACAGCATCGACTTCGAAAGGTGCGCGGGCTGTCTATCAGGGCTGAAATACTGGAACGTTCAAATAGAATTGCATCCGACCTACTATAACGGGGTAGCGGAAAAGATCAAGGAGTTGATGGGTCGCGACGTGGAGGTCACTTTTGATTCGGCCTAGTATCGCTATATCTAGGTATTGGTTGAGGCACACGTCGCCTTCGCGTTCTTGAGTACCTGTTTACAAGATATGACTACTCGCATCTGTCTTGTATGGCTTAGCGGGGTGTCATAGCCCAAAATAGCGGAGTGAATGCGGACGGCAAGCAAGACAGCCACGTGCGCTAGCGCGATCTTGTACCATAACAACCACCCGGTCACACTTGACAGCCTCAATCTCTTTCCAACTCCAATCATAACAAACAAACTGACCCCATCACTGCGCAAGCTCAAATCGGTTGAGTGAGAATGGATCTCGACAGCATGTAAGAAACAGCGACAGTGAAGTGTCGACTTCGAGCTGACAGATTACAACAGCACCGCTGCGAACCAGCGCAACTCACCTCTTCTCCGCCTTCCGGCCGAGCTTCGGAACAAAATATACCTTTACGTTTTCGATGACAACCATGCATATCTCGTTCGTTACTGTCGCCCCAGTAGGAATCCTCCCAGGTCGCCCCACCTGATGAGCATAGCACAGAGCTGTACTCAGTGCCACTATGAAGCCCTTCCTTATTTCTGGCAAAGCACCATATTTCACCTGAGATACCCCAATATGAGTAGTCTCGTGCGCAATACGAGCCAGAGCTTGCGCGACAAAATTAAGGTCGTTCATCTTGACTATAGCGTTGCTCGTAGTTTTCATATGGACGCGCGTGGTTATGAGGGTACATTCGCTGGGGTAAAGACATTCGTGTGGAGATGGGACATGCTCTCGAAGAGATATGCAGATAAGGAATGGATAAAGAAGATGAAGGCGACTTTTGGAGAGGACGCTGAACTTATTGATTCAAATGGCAAAGGCTATGTAGCGGAAGACTGAGCATGGAAACGCAAGGAAGACCTCCGTTAGGTTCATTGTAGATATTATGGAGGTGCGTCCGGAGTAAAAGGTCTTCTCGTCAAGCCGACTCAACATCAACAGTATACGTCCTATCATGATAAATCCTTTTATCATTCATCGGCGCCGTGCTCTTATCCGACGCGCCATCGTGTATTCTCTCCCAAGCATCCTGATCGCGCCCATGATGCACAGCAGACAAGCTGAAGCCGTGGTCCGAGGGGCCGTGGTAGCTGTCTCCTCCTCTTTGTCTGCGCGAGCGGCCGCCTGCAGTGACGGTTGTTGCGACGCGATGCTTGCTGTTCGGGTCGGTGCTGTTGTCGCGTTCGTTCTGAAAGTAGTGGCGCAGGGCTGGGAGGGAGGAGGCGAAGCAGCCGATGCCTGTTTCGACGTTCGAGCAGAGGACGATGTGGGCGACCCAGAAGGGGAGGTTGGTCTGGGACTCGAATTTGTTAACGAATGGGATGCGTATCATGGTGATGATTGAGGCGCTGGTGTTGTCAGTTATTGTTCGTACTGCTTTGATGAATAAGGACTTACAGGGAGGCGAATGATAGCAGTCCGAATGCTTGGAGTTTCGATTGTCTCTTCATCTGCGTGTTCCACAGGATTATAGCCGGCACGACAACCAGGGCCATGTCGGTCAAGATGGTTGATACAGTCGCAGTGTGCGCGATGATGAGGAATGTCTCCGCAGAAGCGCACTCTCCGTCGCCACTCATGATCAACGTCGGAGTCCCTGTAGATATTAGTCGGTCTTGCCCGACTTCTAAATGGCAAACCAGGTGTACTCACACAAAGCGCGCACCGGCTGGCAGTAGGCCAGCGTTCCAACAAAGGTAACGAGGAAGGACGCCCAGGTAACAGCGAGGAGAACCCAAACGGTGATTCTCATAGGCTTCTTGATCGATGCAATTCGCCTAATCGTGATGCACACGGAGGACTTGACAGTTGCAAGTGCAACAACGTACACCAAGATCCAAATGAGGTAGTACTTAATGGCTTCGGACTGCTGCCACGCATTGAGATCTTCGTTCATTCTACCGAGGCCAGCGAGACAGCCGTATATTGCAAGACCTGTGACGGGGATGTATGCGATCTTGGAGGTGATGTTAGCATAGCCCTAGTCACAGAATCTTTGGTGATGAACATACCGTGCCAACAACCATGAACGCATCTTCCAAGCCAAATATTCTTTTCTTAATTCGAATATAAGTTCGCAACGCTACGGTAACAATAGAAAGAGCGAAGAAGATGGACGAGATGGCGATGATGGCAAGTGGCAGACCATCCGGTGCAATCAGCCTCGCAGAAGGATCGACATCGTTCACGGGCGCCGCCATTGTGGGTTCAAGACGAATATGATCAGCAAAGCCCCAGACAGAGTATGTACCTGCATCTCGAGGAACCTGCTATTATTTTATACGACTCCGCCGACATTGACCGCACCAGCTCGTACCCAGTTGAAGTGGATCATAACAAATAACCACCAAGGCCTTCGACTCACGCTGATGCACCCGTTCCTCTTTCGCGCCGTTACCATCCTCACATTTCCCTGCTCGGAAACGGTTGTGACAGCCGCGAACTCGACTCGCTGCAGGGTCTGGTGCGTCATCTTCGCACCGTGCCCACGTGTAGCGGAAGGAAACATGCAGCCGCTGCGACCAAGACGACGAAAATCTTGCTAGAAAGGAGAGCTATGCGTGCTATGTAAGTAATCTGACACGTTTTGTATCCATACAGCGACGCCATGGCGATGGTACCGAAAAACTAGCGGAGCGATCTCCCGCGCCGGCGATCAGGATGCCGGGTCTAGATGGTGGCTAGTGACCACTAGTCGTGTCTCGAGACGGGAACCTGGCTTTCCTGGTCGAATCGAGAGGGTGAAGAGCAAGTGAACCGAGGAGAAGGTCCGTATTTTTGGCGCTGGGTCAGATCGTGGGTTCGGGGCAAGGAGTTGCTGCGATGAAGGTCCACTTTATGGACGGAAGAAACCGAGCAGATGCGCTGCAGTCCACGATTGGTACCGAACCAAGGTTTCTAGAATTCTGAGGTAATGTAGACCTCTCCACATAGGTACGAGAGTGCAAGCCCGCTCGCCTGGAGGCACTGCTGTTCTTCACTTCATGGAGATAACAAGATGTGAGATGATGATTTTGTACGATTATGCCTTGCGGTCAACTACTTGCGCACGCACTCGACTCCATCGTGTTCTTCATTGTATGCAGGCTGATCCACCCAAGTATCGCTAGTCTCCGACGGGTCCGATCGCTTGTTTCCAGAATGCGGCAGCTAGAACGCATTCAATTCAAGTCATGTCGTGATGCTTGTGTGGCCATGCTCGCTGAAGTTCCCTACCATACTTTGTCAAGGTCCTGGTCTATGCAATTGACTTCGACGCCCTTGGCGCGAATACAGCGCAGTACAGCGTCCTCCATGTCATCCTTTGGTCTGGAGAAGTCACCAATCACATCAAGCTTCCGTAACAGAGGGAAATCCGCCAAGGGGTACGGGACTGGTAGTGTGAAGTCGAAGGCAATTCCGTCGAAGACTAGACCCCTATCTACGCAGAGGAACGTGATACGAGCGCAGTTTGACTCTCCCATGATTGATGCGACATCGGAGAATGTATAGATAGCTACAGGGTATATCGTACATTCATTCCAGAAGATGGAGGTAGCTTCGTGGCGAATCTGCTGGCAGGTCGTGAGTACGTGGATTGGGCTCTCGTTCCGCCGGCCCCCCCCCCGGCCGTTCCAGTCCCAGTCTGGGTCTGTCGCCACTACTTCTACATCGAAGAAGACGTATGCGTAGATGCGGTTACGAAGCTCTCCAGGAAGACGCAAGAGAGGCGAGTTGAGGTGGTTGTCGCGCGTGCTAACATCGTCAGTGAGGAAACATACACAAGCCTTTCCAAGGTTGCTACTTACATCTCATCGACGTCTCGAGACGCGGAAGCGCTTGCGATGTCCTTGATGTCGGCGGCCATGTTGTCCTTGAAGAGGTTGTCTGTCGTGAAATTGCGGTGGTTCGCCTGCGTGAAATGATATGAGTCGACTGCGTGGAGTGAGAACAGAGGTGAGAGTAGTAAACAAAGTACCTAGGTATCGAGCAAACACTCTTTTGGTACTAGCTTGGCGCTAAGCGCCGTTTGCGCAGGCAACCCGTACCATTGTGGAAGGAGGGAGGGAGTAAGGCTATGACGTACCACCGGTAGACGCATCCCAGTCTGTAATAACGACAAGGCAATATCTAGAAATAAAACTGTACGAGTTGTGCTCTCTATATCTCTTCTTGCTATAAGGAACAAACATCTGTTACATATATAACTCTGTGAGTAAGCATCAGAAATCGATGAATCACATCTACGAAGCGCTCACACATTCTTCTCACATCAACAAACACTACTCCAGCTTCCCTGACTGTTTTCACCCTTTCCCCCTCATCTATCCAGGCGTTTCCAAAACCCAATTATATCATCCTACGTATATCCACGACTATTCCCGTATGACTTACACCTTAGATGTGCTGAGGAGGTGGGATCTACAAGCTGAACACTGTTGTATCGCGAGAAAATGAACAAGGAGTGCGCTATGGGAGTAGGAAAATTACGACTATGGGGGTTAAGAAGTACGAAGAGGAGTGTCGAGAAGTTATGAGGCAGATGAATTGGGTGATACAGTCAAGAGCACCACGATGTGGCTTGTCGATCGAAAACATCGGTTGAGAGGACCACAAGAGCTTTGTCACAGCACCAAACCAAGACCAACAGCAACATCAACATACAAATATAACGTTCATTGATACGGAGAAGCTGTAATCATACTCCGCTAATGCTACATCCCACATCCCATCGCTAAAAGTAATAGAAAGCCAACAGACAGTCTTTTCGAATACATTCTATTACAACGTATAGTGTTGCCGCAGCGCCGTGAGCATGAAAGTGGTATCGTGGAAAACAAGCAAAAAACAACAAAGAACCGTTGTGGCGCCGTTTGTAGATCCCGCCGGTAGTAATCGTTCGTGTGAAGCCTTTTGAACGCCAGGAAACCGGATGATGGGAAGAACAAAGGAAGAAGGAGGTAGATGTGATGTGGGGGAGATGCGTATGTGTGGGCGAATGTGGGTGTTATTGCGGAAGCGACTGATGACAGCCATGCGTATCCTGCCCCGCATCCAGCTTCTCACCCGTCCGCATACTCGTAGGAACAGAAGCATCTTTCTCAGCGTTCGAAGCCACTTGCCGCGACTGCGATTGCGACACTGACGATGGCATCGCACTCCCATCAGTAGACGTCGAGCGCTGCGACCCATCCTCCATCACATAAGCAATCGGCCCCCAAATGCGCCAATGAAGCAGTATAATATGTGTAACCCGGTTGGCGAGATCAGTCAATTTCGCCGTCTCAGGATGTAAATGCGCAAAAGCAAACGTATCGGCGATGTTCGGTCGAGACAATGATGGGAGAGGCGGCATGGAGGGAGATATAGAGACGAGGGCGTTGAAGAGTTCGATGGGCGAAGATGTGCTGTGGCGATCGACGTTGACGAGGATTTGGGGGAGGAGCGACGCTTCGAGGCGGGAGGCGTGCCAGGAAGATCTACGCACGAATAGAGTGCGCAGGTGTTGGTTGGCTTCGGCCATGTGGTCGAAGCTGCAGGAGGGGGTTTGGCCGGCGAGGTGCGAGGCCTGGCGGAGGATTTCTAGGGAGAGGGCTTCCGAGTTGAGCATCCATTGTTGGGGACCGTGACCTACGGCTTCGCCCATGATGGCGGAAAGGGCGGTGCGGAGTTGCTGACCGATGGCAAGGGTCATGGAGCCTTGGTAGCCTAGCTGTCGGGCGAGTTGTGTGTACATCTCCATGCAAACTTCAAACATGACGAGATCGTCAACCTCGGCCTTGAGTGATGCTAGGCGATCATGGTCTAGGAAGAAGGTATCGGGAAAGTCGCTCCGCCCGTCTCGGCCGAATGTGATTGCTGTTACCGCGCGAGTGAAGACCTCTAGCTCAAAATATGGGCCAGCTCGGGGTCGTGGCGAGCACTGGGGGCCGAACTCATCAACGGCGTCAGTGAACCAGGTTTGTGCCGTGTTGATGTTGACTCTTGCCCTACCATGGACAAGTCTGTCGAGATGGTAGTGCTTCTCAAAGTTGACGCTGTCCTCGATCAGAAGCGTCTTCAGATTCCTGATCTGGTGGTTCGCAACGTCCTACATGGGTTAGCTTGAGCACATATCACATCCATCAGGCAACTTACGAGTTTCATGGCCTCCAGAATGCCGAACAGCTTCCTCAGACCTTCAACGATCTTTTCGAGATTGCGGTCCGTCTCGCCCAGTCGTGTGCAAGTGACCATCTCGTCGACCAGGATGTCGCGCATGGGCGCGCAGTGCTCCTTGAGTAGTTGCGCCATCCACTCCGACAAGCGTCCTAGATCGCACACACCCCGCTCGATAGCCTGCATCAACATAGGAACATCGAGATGCTCGTCCACTCTGGAATGGTCGCGATCGGGTACCAGGCTCTTGAGAACATCGCGGACGTTCTGGAACAAGATCGGTATCCGCCGTTGCGCATATGGTGTGAAAGCTTCGACTTGAATCGGTGACAGGGGTGGTGTGCCGTGGAACATGCGGTTGTATAGTACTAGTTCGGCGATCAACGCTCCCCAGTACTTGTCCGCTACTCTCTCCTTCTCTTGTCCCTTGACGCCATCGACGTTCGGTCTGAAGCTGAGGTCTCTGTCGAAGTTGACGTCATGCCGTAACTTGATGTTGGTGATGATGCTCTGAATGTCCAGCTCGCTCAACGACTGTTTGGTGACTGGCGGTAGATCTAATGCTTCGAGGAAGTTCTCTGCCAGCTCCTCGCCAGACTGTTCTACCCCCGTCTCTCCAGGCATCATAACTCGTAGATATCCTGCGAGTTCTTCTGGGATGGTGGAGTGATAGAGTGATAACGTTCGTGCTGGACTTCCATCTCTTGATCTAACCTCGACAACCGCATGCCGTGGTCCTGACGCGGTCTCTTCCATCTGTCCATCCAGGCACGTCGTAGAGCTGTGCCATGACGTGGAAGCGCTTCTGTCGTCGACATCCATGGCCGACCGTGAAGCAAAGCCAGGTCCGAAAGAGGAAGCTGTATTGACAGGCTTGGTCGGCTGGGAACGCATCTCCTTCCGCCGACGGATGCTCCCGCAGTTCTGCTGCATGGTGGGCCGGGTTCTCATAAGATGACGTAGGTAGGGTGTACGACGACGGTTGAAAGCGGGAAGGTGTCGAGCGCGCGAGTGTGCGTAATGGCGACGAGGAAGCCTGGGGAAGCGAAGGCTCAAGAAAAGCGCATGGGGTTGCTACAAGCGCCAACTACCACTCGTTAGCTTACAAACTATCCAAGACAGAGCGGTTTGTAAGACACAAGCCAGAAACGTGTTCATAGACTGTTTGACGCAGCGACGGGTGGCCGCTGGAACGAACGAGATAGCTCCCGAGTCAGACAAGCACGAAGACGCGGGATCGTGCTTAGCAAGTCGTACCTTTTTGCATGTGCCCTCGTTGGATACCAGATCAATAGGATCTCTTGTATGCCAGTCGAGGCTTATCTCATAGCAAGCAGGACAGAGTGGTCATTCGCGATGATGACAAAAACAGAAGAGTGACGATGCGAAGCGTGAAGAGACGGCTTCGTAGGAAAACCACTTTGCTGCAAAAGCAAAGTGCAACAGCGCGGAACGAGCAAAAAAACAGAGAGACAGACAGGAAGGGGTACTACTGGATGGAGTAGTAGTAGAGTTGCGACAGGGCGTGCGAGTGCTGCAAGGTGACGCTGCGGAAATCAAACAACGTTTGTGTCGTTGTGGGTGGTTGTGCAAGGTCGGAGGCTGAGGTTAGGTGCGAGCGGGTGCCCTTGCATTCTTGTTTAAAAGACGGGCACAGACCTGTGACTACGTCGTGGATTATGCTCTGACCATATCTTAAATGTGCAATCCAATACTTTGGGACGTGGGAGGCGATCGCCACAGAACGACCGACGGCGTTAGGGCGTTCCGTAGGGGACCTCGGGCGTGTCTGGTGAGCGTGAAGCTGCAACGCGTGTCATCCCAGCGGCGACTGCACACCGCTAGTCAGCAGCGACAGCAATTAACAGACCTCAGACGGTAAACGCGGAGCCGCAGTAGCGCTGTCTCGCTCGCCAGACACGGTATCCGACGATGTCGTGAGGGAGCAGAATGCAGCAGATGTGCAGGCCCAGCACGCCGAGACCGCGTGCAGCCACCCGTGATTGGCTGCAGCACCGGGGAGCGCATCACGGCCGCCTCACTTATTGAAAGTAGGGCGAGCATTTGGCATCCGCGCTGCTATCCGGGGGGATGAAAAGAAAATCCGGTCCCAGTCCTGTGTCGCTGTCCTCGACGCGACTGACCCAGTCTGACCGGACGCTGCATGCAGCACACATCCATGGATTGCGATGGCAAGCAGACGCGTCGCACGTCGTGTCCAGCTTCTAGACATCCGACCCACCGACGTCAGTCGTGTTCCTGGCCCCTTCGATGCCATCATGAGTCGTCCACAAGTGCGATCGTCGGACGTCCTGGCGTGCGGGCGCGGGATCCAAAGGCGACTGAAACGCAACCGCTTCATCTAGCAGCCTTGCCGCTCCGACAAACTGCCGAGTGCCCAAGGACCGACTCGTTCAGAAGACCTGTCCGGTTCGTGTGTCGCAGATCGTGATGGGCAAAAGCAGAGCAGCCTCTCATGGTATGACAGATAAGCGACGGCTGGTGACGGGCGGACAACGGAGGGGCTGCTAGTAAGGAGGGCCCTGGGCGTGGAGAGGGCTGGTCGTATATCACATCGCGGGTGTGAGGCGATCTATACCGCGTGCAGCGAGTCTGGGTGGGACCAAGAGCATCTAGAAAAACGGGAGCATGGAGGGCCCCATTTATCTATAATATAGTAGGGCTGGAGACGCCGGTGTGGTTCTGAGGCAGAACCGCGCCTGCTGCTGCGCTTAGGAAGTCGCGATGTCACACGATGCGCTCTCGTTGGATCGGACTAATTATCCCTCTCGCCCGGCGCACGCTGAGTGGTTGTCGCTCTGATGGTCGAAGGACTTGAACATGTTCGCAGACGTCCTCCGCCCGTCGTGTGGTGTTTTGTTGATAATGCAGGTCCCGACGTAAGCGCAGGGAAGGCTCGTTGGTGTCGTATCCAGGAAGATCATTTCGCCATCGTCAGGCACCACTCCAAAGTGCCGAACAGCCATCATGCCTCACTTCGACTCTACATCCCGGTCCAGTCACGTCGACACGTAAACCTCGCAACCCCGCGTTGCGTTGCGATTATGAAGGGAAAAGTTTCTCAACAGCGACAACGTGTCGTCTTGCGTCAGCTTCACTACGACAACACAGTGATTAGAAACGACGAGGCAAGCCACTTCATGGGGTATTCATGGGATATCCACGGACATGTTTCTCTTTGTGAGGGTATTCTTGCTCATCTTTGAAGAGTTTTCAGTTTGACAAAACATCGAGAAACTAGGTGTATTGCGATCATCCCGTCCCCAATGGACAACTCCAATAACGAGCATGAGATACGATCACGCCATAGTCTGGATCAGATGTGCGTACTCTTCTTTCGTAGGTTTCTAGGGTATTTCCCGCTTCAGTAACGAGCGCGAAACAAGATCATGCCCCAGATCTGAGTTAACGGTGCACACTTTTCCTTCGTCGTCTCCCAAAAGTTGCCACTTCAGTGATCAGTGCGAGACAAGACTGAGCTCGGCATGAGTCAACGGCGCGTACCATACTATCTTTTGTTCGAGAATCTTTCCATACGTAGGATCTATCGTCCTAACCACCCTTAGGCTTTTCCTGTCCTCTACCTCTATGAATCTACCCGCCCTATCGCATCTCCCTCGTCCACTCCGCCTCATTTCTTCTCACTCCTCCCGCCTGACAAATCTTCCATCACATCCCCGAAGACATCCAATCCACCTCACTCCACCCTCTCAAGACCCCCAACCACCGTATCTCCCCTTGTTATACTGATCTACCCCCCTCGCATACCCTTCTCTCCTCCCCCTAACCCTCTCCTCCCTCACGCCCTCCCTCGCACACTGCCTACACCAGCTACACTCACCCTCAACCCACATCGTCTGGCTCAATCTCGCGCCAACCGGACACGCTCGAATGGGGTTGAGCGAGCGGGCGTAGGGACACAGGCGGATGTAAGGAGAGCAGGGGGCTGGAGGACAGGCGCAATGAGGGTGAGTTGTGAAGGTTATGATACACATGGGGTAGAGTGAGACAGCTTTCTGCTTTGACTGAGCCCGGGACTTTTGGCTGTTGGACGTTGGTGCGTGATACTCCGTATGGATGATGCTTTTGTGTTGGTTCGTATACGTATACACCACGATCTCTTCAAGACTCCGTATCGACCGTACGTGTGATGACTCCTCCTTCTCCGTCCGTCCGTGTGTACTACGACTCTAATGCTGGTCTTTAATCGTAGATGAGATCATATGAGATGGGAACTCAATCTCGGGGTTAGCGTATGCCACTCTCACTCAAGTTGGGTACATATCTTCTCCATGTATATGCTCGCATAGCAATCCACTTTCTTTCAACACTGCCACAATACTTCACCTCAATCAAAGATACGCGAAAGAACAAGCCAACAATTGTCTGGTGTAACAAGCACAGCACACCACTCGTTTGGCCAGTTCCCAATCATTGTCGTTTGACCCCAACAACGACAGCGACAGCAGAGCAGGCATTATAGGTTTTTTGCCAGCTTTCATCGGAAAGGTAGGCGCAGTACCCAGGTATCGATCCATCGTAGGTGGGCATTTCAAGCTCTATGGCAAACTAGCATAGATCAGATAAAAATAGAAATCAAGTTCAGTAACACAGGGCAAAGCGGAAGAGGGGCGCAGTAAACAGCTCACGACAAGAGAAATAAGTATTATGATAATGTACGTTTTTCATCGTGCAACGGCTTTCCCACCTAGCCACGTATACACATTCCGACGGTCGCTCAAGCTATGTGGTGCTTGCTTGCTAGGTCAGAAGGAAACGTCGACAGGACTACCGCTTCAGGCAGACGTTTGCCTTCGCTTTGAAAGCCCTACTACAGGTACCGATTCACAGCATCCTAAGCCGCAGTATCCATAGCCGGCTCACTCTTCGTCTGTTTACCCGTACGACCACGGGTGACTTCCTGCTGCTGCTCTCCTTTATGTTGTTGGGGACTCCTAGCTTCCTGTTCGTCGGAGCTGTCGTCGATGGGGGATTGCGGGCGGCTGTCGTTTAGGTTGCGGCGGGAGCGTGCCATCTAAGTATCTTGTTAGTGAACCATGTTCTCAATTCTTCTCGTCCGCGTATTTGCGATTATGCAGGGTTATGAAGGGATATGATAACGTACCCAAGACCTCACACCACCAATCAACCCCAAATTATACCCAGCCGCAAACTCGCTACTCTCCCTCGTGTTATTCGCCCTCGGAATATCCAGATGGCTCAATCGCGAAATCGCAGAAGGAGAACGAGCAACGGTCGCTGCTTCCATGGTTTCCGCCTGCGACTGCTCGCGCGTGGGTGTGCGGGCAGGACTGGCAGGGCGGCTCGATTGCCAGAATTGGCGGAAGTCTTTGCTGAGTTCCTGGCCGGTTGTTGTCCAGTTTGCTTTGATGCTGTCGCGGAGCTCGGCCATGGTGCGCTTGACGTCGAGCTCGTTCTTCTTGAGCCAGGAGACGTTGAGTTCTTTGCGGGAAGTGCCGCGTTTGAGTTGGCGGTCGATGTATTGGTCGTAGTCGCGGACGATTCTGGGATGTGTTAGTATAGGCAGGAGGAATTGAGTTGGCGGACTTACTTTGTGATGATACCTGTTGTGCTGAGACCCTCAGTTCTTTGGGTGACGAGGAACATGCCTCGCTCCTTGATCGGGCCGTAGATATCGTCACCCTCGTCTGCGCCGTAGGGGAGGTCGTCGTGGGCGACGTAGTCAATGTTGTGCTTCAACAGAAACTCGGCGGTCACGATCCACGGACAGTCCTCAATGACCTCGTCGACCCATTTGCAATGGCGCACGCTCTCAGCACGCTCCCTCGCCGACAATACGGTAAGACCCTTGCGCTTATGTGTCTCCTTGTTACCGGTAACGCCAACTATAAGCTGGACGTTGGGGAAGGCCGTCTTGGCCTGCTGGAGGGCGCGCATATGGCCGATGTGGAAGAGGTCGAAAACACCGTCTGCGTATATCCTGACCGGGCGTCCCTCGGGCGGCGGGTTCGTCTTGTAGCCTACTGGGTCGACGAGACCAGCTTTGGGCGGAGGCTCCATGCGCATGCTGCCAGCCTCACCACCCTCGCCGTGGTCGTCACCGGCGAGCGATGACGTGCGCCGGCTCTTCTTGCTCGCGCGCTCATCCTCGTCGGTATCCTCGTCGCCGTGGGCGCTCTTAACGCGGACCCGCTTGGTGGTGGTGCCATTAGCATCGGCCTGGCGCTCCTTCTTGGACGCGACGGCCTGGAGAACAGGGTCCTCGGCACCCTCGTCCGAGGCGTCGCGCGATGAGGGCTGCACAGCGTCCATGGCGTCTTTCTTGACCGAAGATACAGTGGTGGACCGCTTTCGTTTTGGCGGCATAGGCGTGGGGTCGAGGCAATTACGGACAATTACGCTGCACGTGCAAACTCAAAAACTATGTTGAGAGGGCGGAGTGGGTTGTAGGTGGGAGAGTAGGAGTAGGCGTCGGGTGCGCAATGCCCAGATATGGGGGAACACGCGGGTGATAACGGTCGAGGTCGGGGGAATTATGCGCAAGCGCCAATTAGATGGGTGAGGAGGAAGTGACGACGGCCTTGCACAGCATCGCAGACGCACACAGCAGAGACGGTGAGACAGTAGATACAGTAGATAGACGGTGACGGCGTGGCTAGTATAATGTTGGACACGCGTAGATTGCGTCTAGCTGCCGTCCGTAAATTCTCGCGCTTCCTTGAATCCTGATCTGATCGGCACCTTGGCATGACGCCAGTCCGCCCAACGCTCCCTGCGCCACAGGCTCTTGACGCGAGCGGACTGGATGAGCGCTTCAACATGGCCCACGTGTGGCATTTCCCATCCTGATTCCTCGCATTTGCATCATTCGCATGTGACAGGGGCCTGCCAACTTCTGGACCCTTTGCCTGATCTGAGAACGTGTCATCTACCTTTATTCGTGAGTATCCAGCTGTTGAGGTCAGTTTGCGCTGAATTGGAGAAACGGTGATTCGCATATTTGGTTGTTGAGCTCAAGTCGCGCCGAAACGAATGTCGTAATAGTCATAATCAAAAACATGAACACAGAAGGAGCAGAGCATTGAAGCCATAGCATTGAAGCTAGAGTTCTATAGTTTGGATAGCAGGTCTATTAGCATCAGTGTATACACTCTCACATGCTACACTCATGCGCTCGACGCATCAACCGCATCCAACACCCAAACCCTAACCTCCCCATCATCCCCCGTAGTCAAAACCACTTCTTCATCCTCCGTCCTCCTCCCCTTATCCGCCCTCTTCGCCCAACAAACATGATTAATTTCAAAGACATCATGACCAGAAAACAGTTCCGCAACAACCACCCACTCCGTCAATCCCTGTGCCTGCGCACCATCAACATCCATCTCATCACCACCAGCCTGCCCCCTCCACCTCTCCTTATAAACAATAACCTTCCCATCGCTACCCGCACTAACAATCATACCCGTCCTCCGACTCCAAGAAACCGAGTAGATAGCGCGTTCGTGAACCCGTGGCAGAACAGCGTCTTGATACCACTCCTCATCGATAGCCGCCGAGCGAATGATACTAGGGACGCCCGTCTTGTTACTCGCGTTGTCATCCCCTTCTTTCGCTTTCCGGCGCCATATCCGTACCGTGCAGTCGTCTGAGCACGTCGCGAGTCGCGGTCCCGATCGTTCCAACTCCGTGATATATTCCGATCGTTGCTGTTCTGATAGTGTTGTGTTTGATGTGTTAGTGGCATCTTTCCTCCAATCCCTCCCCGCCATCCCACTCCCCTCAAACTCCGCCCACCAAACCGTCTTCGCATGCCCCTCAATCAACGCAACCTGCACCCAATCATCCGCATCCTCCTTGTACAACCTCACTGTATCATCGTAGCTCGTGCTGACCAGCAAATCTTCTTCCGGGTGCCATGCCACGCTCTTGACATCGCCGTCGTGTTCCTGCAGCACAGCCACAGTCTCAAAGTTATCGTCTTCGAGTTCTTCCCATATCCACACGCTCTTGTCGCGGGAGCACGTCGCTAGGTATTGGCCAGAGGGACTCCAGGCTAGGCATTTGATTTCGGATTCGTGGCCGTCGAGGATGCAGGAGAATTGGTAGTCGTCTGCTTCGTCGCGTTCGTTGTCGGAGTCGTCTTCTGCGCCGCCGAAGCGTCTTGACGTGAAATCATTCTCCATTCCACCACTACCGCCGTTTTCTTCCCTCCGCCATATCCCGGCACTAGAATCGAAACTACCAGTCGCCAACACGCTCTGCCCGCGTGTATTCGGTTTCCAGGATACAGTCCGCACGCTGCGCTTATGCCCACCGGTTATAGAATGTAGCAGCGTGAAGGAGGTTAGGCTGTAGACGCGGACGCTGCGGTCGGAACAGGCAGTTGCGACGATAGGGAGGGAGGGATGCGGCGCGGATTGCCAGGTTCGCGAGTTGGAGGGTGGTGTGAGGGTTGCGAGGGGGGTGAGTTTGTGGGTTGGTGTGGTGGTGGTGGTGGTGGTGGTGGTGGTGGGCGAAGACATTGTGGAGGGGCCGCGACGGCGGGCTGGTCGCGACGGGTGGAAGGCGATTGCGGCAGGTGGTCGAGGGTTCCAATGGGATCAGGAATGGATATATGCTGTAAGAGGGCGTGCGCATTAGCTGATCTTTGGTAGTGGCTTGCAGCCGGAGTTGAGTCAATGTTTTTGGGGCAGTTCGCGCGTGGGGCATAGAAAGTTCAGATGAGCGTTATTCGCCAAGCCTCCCACCATTGCGGGTCGGTCTGCGTTATCGGACCCTTGCACATGTGCTCTATCCAGTTCTTGTTCTTGTTTGACTAGATCTTCTTTATTCTTCTTTTTACATAATATACATATTACAAGCTTTACACTTTTCGCTCGAAGCCTTGAAGCAGCCAGTAGCCCGCAAAACCAACAAACGCCTATCCCACGAATCGTGAATGTCCCTCGTGTCATCGCATGTCATTATGAAGGGTATTCCAATGCCATCAACCTCAACGCCAGAAATGCTGCGAAAGAAACAATTGTTGAAAAGACACCATCCCACTGATGAACCGCGTCTACTTCCGGATACCGTGGTAGCCTGGTGGGCGAATCGCGTGCGGGTCACGGAACGCAGTCGTAATCGACATGAGCCGGTCTGCCAACGTCTGTTGCTCCGTCTCCGCCATACCAACATTGGCGCGGACACCAAGATCATGCAGCTCTACATTCGCACCCGCCTTGGTCTCATCCACATGGATGTTCTGGGTCGAAGTGACCATGATGCCTCCCCATGGATGCGACGAAGGCTCAGCTTGAGAATGCGTGGTGCAGTTCACCAGACCCTTCTCCGAACACGTGTCTGCTTGCTGCCAGCTCAGCTCCGTTGAATTCGATCGCTTCGAACGTAAACCTCGAGTCCATCTGCCGCCGCGGCTGCTGGGTGGCATCTTCGCAATGGAGGGTGCGCGTCGGAGGCTGCTAAACTCCTTGTGGTTCTTTTGCGCCAATATCGCGTGGTCGGCGCATCCTGGCTGTGACCTCAGGTATGTTTGGAAAAAGGAAAGGGGAATCGTCTTCAGTGTCAGGCTTTGCAGCGACTGAACGTAAATCTCCTTGATGCCGCAGAAGGCAAAAAGCGTGGCCTGACTGGACTCGGTCTGACCGTGCATCATGTCAATCTGCTGCGATGAGAATACTGAACGATGAAGAGTTTCTTCGGGACAGTCTCGCAGAAGTTCCATGATCCTGTTGCGGAACTTGTCGAGAAAAAGATCGTCCTCCGAGTCGGTCGCGGTCCGCTTGTTGATGCGCACCAAACAGTCATCCAGACTGCAACCGTTGAAGGTCGTGAGGATGTTCAGCTGCCGACTGTCCAGCTCGTCGCTGCTCAGCTTCACCATCGGGATGCGGCCAGGTGTAGCTCGCGGCACGATGACGTCTAGGCCTCTCATACCGGGCTTGGGCTGTACGAGGAAAGATCCGATGTAGGTTCCTTTCTTGGGAAGGGATAGCTGCCTCTCACTGAAAGCTTGTAGGCGTCCAACGAGGTTCTCGAGATCATCGCGCGGTATTTGCAGGCTGCGGGCCAGGTGATCGCTGACCTGCTCGACACTCGCGAATCCGTATCCAAGGTTGTGTAGCCGATGTGCCTCGATGGTGTCGACCTTCTTTGTAAGTACAAGCATCTGACCTCTTCCGAATAGGATGGGGTTGACCGCTCCAGTTTCTAGGTCCTTTGTCGCTACGTCTGCAGCCACGATCGTCTTGTTACCGTAGTTGCCTGTCCAGATTGCGCGGTTCATCACCGTACCCGTTGTCAAGACCTCCTCATAAAGATTTCCAAGATTCTGCAGGCTCGTGTCGAGTGTCTGCGCAATCTCGTGCGCTGTGACGCAGAACAGCTCCCGGAATGTAGCCGAGTAGCTGATATCGTCATCGGCTTCCATGGACGATCGGCTGTTGCTTCCGTGAGTAGGCGCTTGGAGGTATCCTGTCGCTTGTAGATGCTCTCGCATCGTCGGGATGAGATCGGAAATGCCGGTCCAGTTGCGCGATACCCTGAAGATCCACTGGAACACAGGATGCGATGTGTTGAATTCGTCGTCAAATGTTCTTTGGTGGAACTGGTGGGTGATTGTCTGACATGGCATCAGTCCGCTTTGACTGACGAGCAGCCGTCCTTCCGGATCGAATGTGGCAATGGCAAGAACGACCTGTTGAGCTCTGTTCTTTTCCAATCGACGTTGACGCTGCTTGATGAAGCCGAGAAGGAAGCATACAGCACACGCGCTCAGGCACTGGTTCTCGATTAGCGATGCGCTCCGTTCGTAAAGTGGGTGACTTACGAGGCAAAGAGAGATGATGAGATTTGTGTTCCTTTCTTGGCCAGGTCCATCGTGGTAGCCACGGATCTCATACCAGGTACCAGCTGCGGCAGTCCAATGCATCCCGCAGACGGCCAAAGCGAGTACGACGGCCACAATGATTCGTCGCCAGACGTTGTTCATCCAATGCTTGTTCCAGTGGAAGAAGAGACTGAAAGAGATGAGACAAGCGCCCACAGCAATTGATGCAGCTCCAACGACGTGTGGCCAGCTTAGGATGATGTGATAGTTGGTAGTGCCGTTGTTTCCCAGGTAATGCATTTCTGTGACAGCCGCTCCTCCACAGACACCGCATACGCCCAGTGATGCGAACCGAACGAGAGATCCTTTGCTTCCCTTGTAGAACTTATCCGCAGCCGATAGTCCCAGGAACATGACGACCACCGGGAGGACAGCCGATACAGCGGTGTAAGTCGAACTGTAGTAGAGTTGAATCTCTTCTTCTCCGTCACCGAGCACGATCGCCCTGTTGCCGACGAAATGCATACACCAGATAGCCACCAGTCCGAACGAAACTGCGCAGCCTCCTACTTGTACCCTAAAATGGTGTTAGTGGTTGTCGTACAGCAATGTAAGCTCAGAACATACCACGACCGCCATCCTGCTCCTGAAACTCTCCGATGTAGCAACTCTACAGTCGTGAAAGCACCGATTAGGCTAACGATGTATGAACCCACAATGAGTGCAGGGAGAAACGATATCGCGGGCCTGCTCCCCAGCGGGTACTTGACCTCGATCGCCGGGTTCAACATTGCGAAGCAGTTGTTGACTAAGGGTGTTGAGATGTGTAGTACTCTTGTAAGGCTGATAATGCGCCTCACATGTACTTCTCAAGCTGTGAAACCTGCGCTCTGCTCGTTAGTTATGTTTGTTGCATTGTGTCAACGAGAGAGATTACTCACTACCTACGTTTACAGAAGAGGAGTGAAGTGAGATGAAGTCAGCAGAGCGGAACCGCACCGGTATAATCGCCCTGGATGTGTTTCTTGGATGAAGCTCGTCACAGTCAAGTGGTTTGCATCATACACCGCAGATCGACGCAGGAAGGCGATTTCGGTGTTTCGTTTTGAGGATCCAAGTAAGGAGGTGACCAGCGTCTTGTAAGCTAATGTCTTTTCGGGGTCCAATCGCGCGTATGCGGAGAGATGTGTATATGTAGGTTCTACTCGCAGCAGTCAAAACTTAGAAGTCGATCGGAGGGGTAGCCGCTGAAAAGAGGGTTCTGCGCGTTTGTACCTGAACTCGCGCCGGTGGGTAGTGTTCCCTTCTAGACGTCCGCTGAAGTGGAGGACATAGTTTGCGCCTGATTAGTCTGGTGCGGGAGGCATGACAGCGACACCCCGTCGCACGAAGTCTCCACACTCGTCTGCTGGGACCGATCACATAGCTCCGCCCTCTCCATGCCGAGATGCCCATGGCGCCAATCCAGTTTTCCACGCCACAGCTCTGGCCCCTTCATGCAAACGACCTTGATACGGCTTGGGCCTATTAGCCTAGGTGTAGTGGCTTCGCGGCGTGGCCTCGAGTAATTTCAAAGTTCACGAATCCCGTTCGGCCTGACCTTCTAGCCACTCGCGCAGCGAACGCGGCCCGCTAGTCATGCATCTGTCCCCAACAGGCCGTCGTCTCCTGCTGTGTTACAAACGTGGCTGATGGATCTCCGAAGGACCGTGCTTTCCCTACGGATACGCGCGAGCGTAGAATCGTGAGCGGGATGTGAAATGCAAGCGACAAATACTGACCGCGGACTGCACGGCCAGAGGCGAGTGTCATGCGGCCTAGATTGGGGCCAGATGTCATCGCGAAGCTAGCGTGCAGACTCAACTCTGGTACCTTGGCCGACTGATCCCGGGTATTAGGACATATGATACGGGTGGTAATTTGAGTTCATTCAGAACGCCAACACGGCAACGAGGGCGTCTCCGCGGGGAGGAAGCTGCCGCTGATGAAGCGTGATTTGGCCAGGATGGGCATGTCGCACACGCTCTGGGCATGTTCCGCATATCCAGAGCATCGGTACAACAACCATTAATCGACTGAAACATTGTCGGTCTCCACCATGATGTAAGGTGATGGATCTTCGCAAGGCACCTTCTCGACCCGAAGCGCCCTGTCATTTCAATGGTTCTGCGCAAGCGACGAACGCCGCGCTTCAAGGCCTCGATTGTAGGGACTGCCGTGCCGTGTATATCAAAGAGGACTATACCATTAGCATGACAACAGCCAGCCATGTTCAAACCCAGGAGGCGGCTGCGAAATGCAAAGCTTTCAACCCGATGGCCCGTTCGAGTGGTAGACTCGGAAGAGCCGACTTGACATGTGTCGCCATGCTCGCAAACCTGCCGTTGGTACGACGGCACATAACAGTAGTGAGGTGGAGACTGAGCGTGCTTTCCTCCGATCGCAGATTCTCAGGACGTGGCAAGGCCTGTGCCCGATAGCCGAAATTGATCACCTCCCGTGCAGCTGGTGGGGCGCGAATCACGTTCAGAGAAGACGTCGACGTTGGAGAGCGTACAACAGCTGCAGAACAATGTCATGCCGTCTCGCAGCTCTCGCAGGCATGTTACACGAAGAGCCGCTGACCTCCGACATACAGCAGCCGCTTTCGCTATGCCGGCTGCTGAGTATATGGTAACTTTCGTGAGTGTTTGCATTCCGAAACAAAACTTGGTTCGCTTAGTGCAACCTCGGCAGTGGAGGACGCGAATCATTGGACATCGGCAACGTTGAGTGACAGGAAAGTTTGGGCGGACTTGTTTACGCCACGCGGTTCACTCCGGAAATACGAACAAGACCAGTCCGCCTGGTGCAGAAGGGGTTCTGGTAGTCGAAATTTCTACGAGTCCGCGCCACGGCAGTTGGATCGGAGGTGAGCAATCGTTCTGTGGAGGCGCACGCCGTCAGGGACCAACGCGAGATGTACAGGTCCTTTTCCTGTTGAGTGCAGGACCTGCAGGATGATGTGCAGCTTTAGCCACCAGCCAAGCAATCCTAGAGCGCAGGAGGACTCCGGAGTAAGGAAGGCTTTCTATGTACACGATTCATGCTTCGAAGAAACCGCCACAACCTCGCAACACGAAGGGCGTTCCTGGAAGCCGTGATCTACCTACACGTGCATCACCCCATTGCTGACTCGATGGATGGTCGACGATAGGCCCATGGGGTGATTGTTCCCAAAGTCGACCCATATGCTATCGTAGAACCGGTGGCAGAATGCAGGAATGCAGGGTAGTTCCGTGAGGCTCAATAACAGAGCCGACTATGAAAAGCCACATTTAGAGTAACCGGATATAAATATCTTCGGAGCCATACCAACGACCACGTGATGCTGCCCTTCCTCAATGAAACGGCTGTTAGCTCGCTTCGGCCGAAAATCTATACAGCCGAAACTCTATCCTGTAACAACGATGCTAGTGAGCTGAAGTCCAAGTGCGACCCCTTTGTGTCTAAGAGACTAGCAGCAGATACTCGGTATGATCAACGTCACCTTCAGCTGACATTTGATGTAAAAATTCTTGCTCGGCGTTCGCCTGCTGTTGCGACGGATGTTGTAAAGCCTGAGATGACGAGGCACACGACTGCTGAACATACATGTCAGGTGTAAAGAGTGGATATGTAGCTGGGCTGCCGGGCGTATGAAGCTGTTCATTTGTTGGACACGTTGTGGCCGATGTTGCATTTGGGGAATGCAAGTCGAGGAGCAGGTCGTCATCATCGCGAACATCGAAGAGCAAGCCTGGGCTGTCAAGAGATCGCCCTTGTTGTTGGGTCGCTTGGGGACCCGCTGTCAATGCCGACTCATTCTCGAAACACTCGTGCAGGCCGTCAGCCTGGAATGATGTAGTGGGCTGAGTATGCTGCCAGGCTTGTTCCTCTTCCGCGAGCATGTCGTCAGAGTCTGGCTGGGCTTGTTGAACGATAGATGCCACACACGGTTTGATCGGAGCCATGGGCTTATCCATAAGACTTCTTTGGGACTGTACCCATAGATGGCTTGCGATGGCTGACTCGGCTTCAGCGGCCTCATAGTCAGCGTCGGGTAGTGTGGGATCTAAGCGACCTGGCGAGGCTTGCAGCGCAACCGTCTTCAAGTCCTTTATCTTGTCTCTTAACGAGATGGATGCTGCCTTTACACCCCCGATCCGTCGGATGGAACAAGCGATGGTAGGTAGGAGATGAGCTCTTTGGGACAATGCCTGCTTGTGGGTCAGCACTGTGCATAGGATGAGAAACATCTTTCTCTTACGACTATGTATCCGGTCTTCCATATCGCAGGAGCAACGTCGGCTAGCCCTAGGCGGAAAGTGTTCGCTTTGGCCTTCAGTCCAATCGGGGCCTTGCTGAGAGTACCAGAAATCGACAAACGCAACGCTCCATCGACCATGCTGGCAATCTCTATCTGTTCTGGCAATTTATGATTCGTGCGGGACTTTCGCCGCACCGAAGGGTCGTTTGTCGGTCGATTGCGCCTTCGTTTCGATGTTTCGGCCAGTTCAAGTGATACTGCTTGAGTCGATACCACACCCTCTGTAGCTGGTCGTTTCCGTTTCCCGTACGCTGGAGCCTTCGGAGCAGTTGACGTGCGATCAATATGTCCAGCAGGCGATAAATCCTCGAGTTCAATCTCGTACAGAAGTGCATCAGAGTCCTCTTCTTCTGGAGTCGCTACCTTTCGCTCACCCGGGGACGAAGTCGTTCGTTTCACCGCGGGCCTCCTACGCGGGCTTGCCTCCAGGATGTCCATGTGAATGCGTACAGACTGAAGTGAGACTGACGAGATTCCCTTGGGCGGTTGAATGTCTACTGCTGGAACATCCGAAAAGATTCGGTGACGCTTCTTCCCTTCTTGCAGACCCGTGATTGAGGCATGATTGATGTCCAGAAGAATGGCCTCGGGATCCGCTGCGACGTCTGATCGATGCGTAGGCTTCAATGTTAGCTGATCCCAGACCTGTGATCTGTCAATGCCATCCTAATGTAAGATCGATCGTGCTTACTGGCGCATGAAGAACAGCATTTGAGAGATCTTGCAATTGCGCCTGAGGCAAGGGCTCATCGCGTAGACTAAGCTTGATTTCCATGTGCATGTCATGTCCACGGCTCACCCATACAGTTCCAGACGTCAAAGCGTCCAGGCATTCGGCTGATGTTAGCTGCTGTAGATAAGTTGCATCCTGTTTTGGTGAGATGGTGATCAATGTGGTGAGCCAAAGCTCGTAATCAGTGGCAGGCGAGCTGAGCACTGCGCGCCCGAGCTCAATTGATCTCGACATTATCGTCCAACCAGACTCTGGTCTGTGGAGGAGGCGAAGGCAGCGACATGGGCATTGCAGAGCTTGGTGGAGCGACGGGGTCTGAGATTGTGATGTATCGTTATCGGTGCCAAGAGATGGGTTCGGCAAGCACCCTGAGGGTTGTTGCTTCCTCGCGGGCTCGCGGGTCCTGCAACTTCCACCTCGCGTCGCAACATGAGGAGCCTCACCACCAACGCGCTTCGGCGCGTCAGTCAAGCTGCATTGCTCCAAAACGCCATTTGCAGGTCTCCGGTAGCGGTCGCGGGCTCAATTGGTCGAAGACATCTTCATTGCAGCCCCTCGCGACGCACCGATGGCGTATTTCGAGAGCTCACGTCGATGCGTGTGCGCACCCCATGGATAGAAGCCTTGCGCCAACAGCAGTCAGAGGGGAAACAACCTACGGAGCCCTCAGGAAAGCCCGAAGTACCCAAAGATCGCAAGCTAACAGGGAAACGTATGAGCGAGAGCTACCATTCGGTTGTACTCCCGCTGGCTCAGGACCCATGGATCCTCGACACGTATCTTAACGCCTCAGGGCATATACGGCTCGGAACCATCTTCATGGATCTCGATGCTCTCTCTGGCATCATTGCGTAAGCGTTCAACAGCTACGCGTAGTAGCTGACCTGGTCTGAATGCTGCAACAGGTACAAGCATACCGGAGACGACGTGACTACTGTTACGGCTAGCTGCGACCGCATTACCATTCACTCCCCACTGACCGAGATATGCGATCTAGAACTATCTGGCCGCGTGACCTATGCGACTGGCAGAAGCAGTCTGGAGATCACGATGCAGGTAGCGAAAGCACCTAAGAAAGGCGAGCAGGCCAAAGACGAGGACGTTTTGATCAACTGCACCTTCACCATGGTCTCCTTAGATCCGCGCACCAAGAAGTAAAGATGCTAGTAGTGGGTAGGCATTCCGGCAGCTGACTGATCTCTAGGCCCGTAAACGTCAATCCTCTAATCGTCGAGACGCCTGAAGAGAAACGCCTGTATGCTCTAGGTGAGCGTAACTCGAAAGTGCGAAAGGAGCGCCGGGATACCTCTTTGCTCAAGCACACGCCGAATGACCTCGAAAGCGACCTCATACACGCCTTCTGGCAAAAGCAGTTGCAGTATCATGGTTAGTCCCATCGCTACCACTACTCATCGCCCAACTAACACTCGCAGACCCCTACGATGACCTACGCAAACCCGATAACGTTGTCTTTATGGATGCGACGCGTCTCCAGACCGCCACAATCATGCAACCGCAATACCGCAATCGCCATCACTTCATGATCTTCGGTGGTTTCCTCCTCAAGCAGACCTTCGAACTCGCTTTCACCGCCGCCGCAGCCTTCGCACACGCGCGCCCGACCTTTGTCTCCCTCGACCCTTCCACGTTCCAGAACCCGGTGCCCGTCGGTAGCATACTGTACCTCACGGCTACGGTCGTATACACGGACCCACCGCTAATCGGCGCACCCGACGAAAAGGTCGACGATCAAGCCGAATATACACGAGTGCAAATTAGGATTGACTCAAAGGTGCGAGATGTGGAGCATGGCCACAGCAAGCCGACAGGGCAGTTCAACTACACGTTCACGGTACCGAAGAACATTAGGGTCATGCCAAGGACCTACCAGGAGTTCATGATGTATATTGATGCAAGGAGGCGAGCTGAGCAGGTCAAGCGGACACTGGAGGAAGGATACGGTGTCAGCCCGAAGACGGCAGAGGATAGTCTGACAGAGTGAGGACTGGATGACACATTACAGGCATGAACAAGGCAGATGGAAGCATGGGTCATTGCTATACAGCATGCGATCAGTAGTATATGCTGTAATTAAGCTTATAAGAACAGTATCCAACAGATTGACCAAGGTCCCAATAAATCCGAACGCCTAATCCAAGAAACCCCAATCGAACAAAGCTCATAAGCCGGTGAATGCGCCTGCGTGCGCCGATAAGCCAAATCATACAATGAAAAGGTATAGCGCGTTCAATACAGGCCGAAAACGTGAAAAGGAAAGTACCGCGTGGGATTGATGCAGCATGCAGCATGCACGAGGCTGACTGCACAGGACGTGCATCAACAAGGCGGTGAGCCTCATTCGACCAATAACCCCAAATGCGCACGCGTGCCATCAAAACGCTATGCGCAGTCAAGTCCGCAACGTGTTAATCGCCCTGCAGGACAAGTCAGCTCAATGCCGTATCCCATCGGACGTGTATTCCGTCTCCGCGCTCTCCACTCCACTCCACTGGGGACACTCACCCTGCATACCCGCTTGTCTTCCCCGTCAGCCGAAAGGTGACGTGAAGCGCATCCATCCAATCTTCCACTCTACAGTTCATCCAACTCAAACTCCAACGCCACATCTTCTGAACAGTCTGTGCAGTAGTAATTCGAGAAGCCGCCGCATTCGATCTTCATCTTGGAACACATGTCGATGGACCAGGCGTCGTAGGAGTAGCCGGAGAGGAGGCGCGAGGAGCAGACTTCGATGCTGTTGGCCCTGGGGAGGTATTAGTTGCGGTTGAGGGTTGGGAAGGGGAGGGAAGGAAGGGAAGGGCGTACCAGATGTAGTAATCGTGGTTACAGTAATACCACGAGTATGTGTAGGAGCACATCTTGAATCTAACACCAGGTTGTTCGTGGGAATTGGTTGGACAGGTATTTGCACTTGGATATGCTTGCCGGCGGAACGATGGCTGTCTGGATAGTTGTTGTTGTGTGTAACGATGCTATACATATACACGTTAGCTGACCGCTTCTTCCCCTGTAGATCTCCCTTGCGTTCGTGGGTTGTGCTTCCGCGGAACATGGAGTGTAGATTCTAGACCCTGCATTGTAGTCGTGGCTCCAACGGAGCTGTATGTGGGTTCTATTGTTTGCTTGGTACTCACCTTTAGGTGTGTTACTCCCGAAAAGGAAACCTCGATTGTAAGTCTTGGAGATGTGCTCGTGCCTTCTTCGTATCTTGCTTCAAGTCCACGCTGATGGTGTCCACAACAGCTTTGATTCAGTATAAGATGGGTGAAAGGAGCTCTCGAAGGATGTCTCCGCGTCTTTATGCTCATCACTTCTGACTCCTACCAGGAGCTTGGGCCGACGGCTCATTGCAGATACGCCGATATGCTTCATGGCCTTCCCCCGGATTAGCTGATAAGACGAGGCGAGGCGGTGCTTTCCAACCAATCCAGCCAACCACACGTTCGTGTCATCCAAGATGGGAAGCCGAGCCGGGGGATAGATCCATGGCCCATGCTCGAGGTTCGGCTACTCTGAGGTCGCGTGGAGAAGGCGGTGGAGGTTCAAGCATGTCAGATCAATGTGGTTTCAGCCCTTGGCCTGCTTCTTGCATTGCCATGCGGGGTTGAAAGTGATGTCTACTATCTGATGGCTAGTAGATTGAGTAGCTTCACAGCTCGAGTAGAGTATCTGAGGATAGCGAGCGCGAAGGTGTGTCAAGAGACCCCAGACTTTCCTTCTCGCCGACGACCGGTTGGACCCTGCGTCTGCGGGACCTGACCTGCATGCAGGGACCTCAGTCTAGCCGGATCGGTCAGCTTCACTTCTCATTGGACAAGGCAGACCGGAACGAGCAGATGTAACGGCCTTCGGCTTCGAGATAACGATAGTAAAGCTGTTGAAGATGGATTACATGACTGTCATGTAGCTTTTTGAAAGGCTGCTGAGTGAGAAGGGTGCGATTGCGATGTCTCTGATGACCACGTGCCGAGACGTGTGACCAAGATGGAAATAAAGACGATTGAAGATCATACCTAGATACAAGCCGAACTTCTTCACAGAGACTTTCACGCGATCTTCATCCCCTCCCGCGTGTTTGATATTCGCAAAACTACATCCAGATCGTTGCTCGTTGCGGCATCGATCAAAGGCCTCCTGCTTCGGTGAAGTCGGTGGTCTTATCGGCTAGCGTGCGATAACCGACAAGGCCTGGGGTGTCGCCATCGCGCAGTCTTCCAGCTTCCAAGGTTCTTCAGCATCGCGAAATGAAGTCAGCCTTGAACATATCCAGGGCTGCGCTGCGATGCCGACACTGACCGTGTCCATGCTCCCTCATCACGTGTCGAACCAGCCCCAACGCGCCCTCGATCTCGGTCTCGGTCGTCTTTTCTCAAAACCCGCCGGTCTCGCCAAGCAACATCCAGGAAATCGCCCCGTCTTTCTAGTCGCAGACAAGACGGGGCATCGCATCGTCATCAAATCCGGCGCCCCGATGGCTGTCGGGCCTGTCGCACCGCAATGCCGAAGGGTTTCGATGGTTTTCGACGTGTATTGCCTGTCTGGGCAATGTTGAGGTCTTGGTCTGACGGTGGTGTCGCATGTCGGGCGGCCGACCCCGAAATTTCACGGGCGTCGGCGGTGTTGGAGGGCCACCGTCGGCCGACGGGCATGAGACGTCGTCCTACTCCTATGTACAGTGCTTCCATCATGTCCCGGGACTTTGACACTGCCAGCTCCGACCTTCTTAGCATCTAGTCACGTCGCCTCATCGTTCCTGCCGCGGTCGGTCTTCTGCCCAGCTAATCTCACACCAGAGACCCAAATGATCGCTGAAATGCGCATTTGACCCCCGTTCTGCTACGTCGGCCGACGTCTCTGCGCCGTAGGGTTCCATTTCGCTCGTTTGCAGGACGCGCATGGCTGATGGGCTAAGCTTCAACAGAGCGACTTTGTCCAACCGGTTTGGTGGGAAAGACTGTTCACCGTACACGCCCCAAGTATGGCCTGAATCATTCGGATGAAGCTCTGCCCACGCATCCGCAAGACCATTGTTACTGACAAGGTCGTCATCTTCCGGAAGAATGGAATTGAAGTCACCGGCGATAATCCCTCGGCCAGCCGCCCTGAGGTACGACGCGCAGATGGAGACTTGACGCGGCCTCATCGACGGATTGATTGGCAAAGAATCCAAGTGGACGTTGATGAGTCGGACACGGGTGGACCCTTTACCGGAGGTGTGCTTGCTCTGAGAGTTGAGGACCAGATCGCAGCACAGCGCGTCGCGTCCGAAACGACTAGGTAATGCGACCCTTCAGATTGTGCCCAGCTGGATACCATGGGTGACTACCCAGGGCTTGGATACCAATGTGATGCTGATGAACTTTTGGTTTCCAAACGCCGAGGCATTGACATCGCTTATGTACCAGTTCTGCTGTGTCCAGGAATCTTCAAGCAGTGCTGTAAGACCTTCTCTTGATACCTCTTGCAGGAAAACAACGTCTGCAGCGCCTGTAGTCTCGATGGCGCGCAGTAATGCAGACATACGAGTCTTTGATACAGGTGCATCGGCGTTTACGTTCCAACTCACGAGGCGGAATGAGCCCGCCCATTGGTGTTTGATGCCAAGCTGAGTGGCTTCGTCGCTGGCAAATGAAACCCACTGGTCTTGGTCAAAGACATGCCACTTCTGGAAGTTAGGTGTTGCGGCAGCTGCTGGTAAAGGTGTTTGTTGCCACCATGATTGGAGGCGGGTGTGCATTTGCGATAGCATGGTGAGGTCGTATGTGTTGTTATTGCGGTAGGGAGTGAAGCGCAGAAGGATGGCTTTTTGGTCGTTTGTATAGTGGCGGGGTAAGGTCACACCGTGGTTGTCGTCGAAGTAGGAAAGGGCAAAGCGAGTCGGTAGTTTACAAGTTATGCGGGCGAAATTTGAAGAAGCTGTTGCAACGTATTGGTGTTGGCTGATATGAGTTAGCGTTGACGTTGTACCAAGGTTGACGCTTCAGCGAGAAGGCAACCGCTTACCTATCCGCGGTTGCGTCGCTCTTAGTCGCGGGATGCTAGGCAGTATGCCCTCATTTTAATTGAGCTACAAGGTGTGTAGTTGCCTGCTCTAAGGATGTGAATGTGGATACGGCTGACATCTTATAGGCGTGGACCAGGCAGCTAATGTAATGGGTGCTGGCTTTTCCTTCGAAATTCGGCTGCGAATGGTCTTTATATGTGTATTTTGATTAAGTAGCTATTAGGTATAGTGAAATATATTGGTACACATGTGACTGTCTGAAACTAATCTAAGAAAGCTGTTCTGGCATGAAGTCTTCGTCGGAGTATTGATATGTAGGGGCGTCAGATCGCGACGCCCTCTTGAAGTCGCAATTTTTGCAAGCTTCTTGAATGTTGTGTTGGATGTTTCTGTGGTGATTTCTGTATAAATCCGTGCTGGTGTAAGTACCTGTTCCACATTTGTGTCTGAGCAACACTTTGCGGAACCATGTCAGACGTTCGTGGACTTGGTCCATACCAGGCATTGTCAACGTAGACTTGATCGCAGCGTACAGATCCCATTGAGGATCTGACACAATCCAGAGTAGGATATCATTGTCGGCATTTCGTAATCCCGGATAGAAGGTCTTTTCTCTTTCTTTCACTTTTACATAAAAGGGGGTTTCCCAAGCTTGCTCTCGTCGTCTGCTGTCCCAAAAAACGGTTACCATTTTCACGAGATGTTGGATTACCCATGTAGCGTCGACCTCTTCAGATGCTCGATTCGTGATATAGGCGCATATTCCAGTGGACTTCTCTGCTGTGTTTATGATCGCTGCTGCGTTTATGAAAACACAGTCCTGGGTAGAGTCTGAGATACAATAGGGCTTTACGGTAAGAGAATGGATAGCCTTCGTGTATCGAAAACATGGTGCGTAAGTTTTGCGAAGTACCGCTCGTGGGTTTTCGCAAGTGCGCTTGATGAATTCATCCAGTCTTCTTGCCCAGGGCGCGACCTCGCTGTCACTGTGGAAGCTGAGGACGACACGACCATCCAGTTTTTCTTGTTCAGATGCGGTGGCACAAAGCACGTTAGTCTGGTCGCTAGCGTAACGCCGAAAGTAGCTCTCGGGACTTGAAGCCCAGGCTTCACGTAGCTTGAACTCGACTTCGTCGGCGCGAACATCTAGCTCTTTCTGCGCTAATATGTCTTTCATCTTCCACCTGTCCTGGGCGACCGACTCAGTGAGCGCAATATACGTCAATTCTCGAATGGGTGCACCGTCACTGTCCTTGCGGTATCGCACATAAAGCGAAACCAAGATCTTCTGCTCCGGAAAATCTTGGACGTCCTTGCTGTCTTGGAGGCCGGTCCATGCTTGCTCGATGATCCTGAGTCCCTGGGCGCTTGATAAGAAGAACCAACAGCGGCTCGCATGAACCGTTCTCAATCTTTCCCAGCCCGCGCCCATGAAGTTTTTCTTAGCATCATCATCGGTTTCGGTGATATACAGTCCTCGTACTCGTGACTCGTACTTGGCGCTGTCCCAGACCCTGATATCGATATGATCTCCAGTGCTCTTAAAGAGGGGTTCGAAAGAAGGCACAATAGTGGAGTTTATCGCATCGAAGGCTGGTTTCGCAAGCATCTCAGCCGTTCCAGCTCTGCTGATAGCAGCCAAAGGTCCATCGCCAATCCGAGAGTTTGCATAACCAGTCCTTGAGAGGATATCGGGGTCTGCGGTGACTGTGTAGGATGATTGCTGACCTTTGTCTACTACAGACTTCAGTTGTCTAATGATGTTGGGCCGGTAGATATCACGCGCCCAATCAACGATATAGTCCATAATTAGAACCAATTGGAGTGCTGCATCGTGGTCGGTGATACTCCCTTGCCACAGAAGGATTACTTTCTACCGAGACGTTAGTAAAGCTATTGGAAAAGTCATGTATCAACCTACGTAAGAAGGCAGACTGTCTGGACTGGACTTTGTGACGTAACATCCGTATACCTTCCACTCTTCTCCTCTGTACGCAAGAAACCAAGATAGCGGGCCTCCAGGTACCTTCATCTTGTTGTCCGGGTCATCTTGGAGTTGGAGCTGTAGGTACAGATGATTTCGTATCGGTACTGCCGTTTGCGTCTCGATGTATTTCCAATTGCTTCCGCCTTTGTGGCTCTTGGCTTCCATCGCTAGGAAAGGGTATATCGATGTTTCTTCACGACTATCTGGATTGCAGCTCATGGTTAATCTCTTCAGTACGTCTTCGAGCCCAGCGTCTTCTCCCGAGTGGGAAACTTGTTGTTGCTGTAAGATTTTGTCGATGGTATCCGTAGTCCTCAGTCCATAGATTCGATCAGGCTGCTTCTCAACTCGACGACGATTTTCGGGGTCATTCTGAATGAAGCTTCGCTCGCTATTACGATAAGTGAATATATCGGTTAGTGCTTTACTCAGACTAAGCACATGATCAGCTGTGGCTTACTCGCTTGGTGGATTCATCAACTTACATGCTATGTCGTTTTGCCAGTGGCTCACACGAGCATACTGAGCGACGTTTCTGACGCTCCACAAGGGACATTGTTTGACTATTGCTGTCTTTCGGATCCGCCTGGATGTAGGATTCCCACAGACGTTTGCGGCACCCCTGGCTGCTTTCGGTCAGCATGCGGGACCTGGAACGGATCAAGCGCGGCATGTAACATACCATCCCACTTCGATCTCAAATCGTTGAAAGATAAGATCCTCAATCGCCGATCGCCACGTATCCTCGTTCGAGTAATCGTCTCTCGATCGCACAGCTTTGTAGATTATCCAGTCTGCCCGCTGCTTGTTCTCGAGCTCCCATGGCCTGTCGATGATGTCGGGCCGAGGTTGTATCGCGTACGACTCGTAACTCATCTTGCCCAGTTGCTGAATATGCTTGAACTTAGTCTGATGTTCTTCGGGGACATCTCCTGGATGCGCTGGGCGGAAGATCAGCGGATGGAACTTGATGCGGAACTCCTTGACGATTGCCTCGTCAGCAGCAGCTTTCTGGGCAGCTGTTTGTTTGTCTGGAACAGCGTCTGCTGTCTTCTTCCCTTCCCTTTTCTTTGGCACAGGATCCATCGGTGGATCCGATGCTCCGTCTCGTTTTCTCTTACTTCCAGTACTAGCAACAGTCTTTGAGGCTTGCGCATTGCCCCTGGTTCTCAGCGTCGGAGCCATGAGTGCTGATACGGAAAAGGTAATGAGATCTGGTGTAGTCGGTCTGAGTCTTGTAGGTAAGCTATGGCAACTTTGCTCCTCGACAACGAATTGCGACAAAATGTGGTGCGGCTGGCGCTGGGAAGTTACGACCAGATCGGCCGGCCGGGGTTTGTATGGGTGCCTTGATTCTTGGGGCCAAAAGGCCCAACAGCAATCCTTCGCGCAGGCAGCATGTTTCGATGCAAGAGCTTGAAACTGCCTACTAACTACATTCCGCCCCATCTTCTTACCCGAATCTCGCTTCCCCCACACTAGCGCGGATGCGACGGATGTTGGTGGCCTGAGCGTGCATCAGGGGAAATCAGGCACTGGCATGTTAGTCCACAGCTCAGTCCACTTCTAACACACATCCTCCATCTTTGCTGCATCCTGGGCGATGCCATGGCTCACTTACCATCCACTTCATCAACAACTAGTACTGCGACGATGTAGCGCGATGAGCCATTCGTGGTTACCACAATTGATCAACACCTAAGTATTTTATGCGCAAAAAAAAAAAAAAAACTCTTAAATGGGGTAGGTCACGATTACTCAAGACGCACAACTCTTGCAGACATGTTGCATTGCCCAGCTGAAGTTCTATCGCGCTAATGCCACGCTTAACCGAGAAGCGTGCGGCAATCGTCATGCGATCTCGCAAACATGAGCAGCCGCTCACAATAGCATTATAAATGATTGCAGTCGCATGCTATCTCTTTACCTGTTCATAGTCCCATATGTATATAAGCCGCCCATACTCTGGGATCGCCTCCACGCCAATGCTCTCCAGCATCTCTAGTACTTACCCCAAACCCGTCCCTGAACACACCAAAGTTCTTGGAATCACGAAGCGGTTTGAGGCTATCCTGTAAACATATAGACACGCATTCGTGACTCATTTCCGCATTCACCATGGCTGCAAAAACGCGCTGTGCGAGCTCAGCCGAATGTTTATCTGACACCTCCCACAAAGAGCCGATGACATGCTGAAAGCCGACAAGCAAACACGCACTCATCAAATGCAAGCCTTCGTCGATCAATTTATCAGCACTGCTCCGCCCAGTCGAGCAGGCCGAAAGATATGCTATGAACGGTGGCTTTTCGTGAAGCCTCAAAGACAACAGGTCCTTTACGGTAAGAGGGTTTTGCTGCCAATCTTCGACGAGAAGCGTGCTTTCGAGTGGGTCTTTTGGATCGGACAGGCCATGACCCGCGAAATGGAGAATTGTGGCGCGGCTCATATCTGCTATAACAGCGGCTTTATTGGGCTTCAGTTTTACCTCAGGTAATTCATCGATGGTGGATAGTTTCGAAAGTTCCTCTCGGACCAGTTTCCCTTCTTCGTCTGCAGAAGGAAGATCGTTGCCTCCAGGCGTTGTTCCCATGGACACTATGAGGGGTCGGTGCAAAGACAAGTGGCTGGCTGTGTTCTTTGCGTTGCGCTGACTGTATATCATCGCTTTGATGGATGGACTGTAGGAGGATATGACTTTGTCCATCAAGATGGATGACGAATTCTTGGTGTAATTCCCAGCTGCGTGGATGGGCAAGGAGCACAGAGGACCGCTTGGCACCCACCACAAACGCGGCTTATCTGATGGTTGATGCGATATCAAACCTGAACGATGTAGGGCCTCAAGTATAGGCTGTACGAGGACATCCCAGAGCCATCGAAGCAGCTCGAACATTTTCGGTTGAGTAATTTTACGCGACATCAGGAGCGTGGCCCATGTCTTGATTGCGTCCAGTTGCAGATTCGGAAGAGCAACGTGTTCCAAATGGGAAGATGCAACAATGAAAGCATCACTGCGATACTCACTAACGTTGATCACAATGACGGGACCGGCTGATGCTATAGCTTGCATCTCCTCCATTGAGGGCGGTGCAAGGAAACGAAGGAATCCGTCTTGTTCGCGGATATGCGCAATGCTCTCATCGAGCTGTTTTACGATGTTGTTCCGGTGTGTGAAGTCGAGAGACACGTTCGTGCCGGAAGTCGCATCTTCGATACTGGCCTGTGCAGCAGGCGATTCGAGGCTGCTCCTAAGATGCTCAAATCGAGTAGCAAGATCTGGATGCTGAGATCGCAAGGCCGAAATATCAGAGCGAACATCGAAAAGCAGACCAAGAATGATGCCCCGGCCTTCTTCCAGGATCTCGAGAGCCTTTTCAGCGGTTGCACCCGCCTGTAGTGCTACTGAGGCGGCTACCGTAGTCATCCCGGAAAATTTTGATATTGCGTCCTGTTGATCTTTTTGTTGCAGAGATCGGGGACTGACTCTTTGAAGAAGACTAACGGCAAGTTGCAGCAGAACGTCTGCTTCAGCAAAGTTGGCCTGCAGTATCAGGATGTCGGCAGCTTTTCTAGCTGCTTCAATTCGCAAAGAAGGCGAAGCAACGGGGTTGTGGGCGCATTTGCTTAGATTGCGAACAGATGCTTCCAGACTCTCGGTAGAACCAGCAATCTTGTAATGTTCGAATTGTGTATTGCCAAGATTGCGAAGCCGCGAGGGGAGTTTTCCGTCAGTAGGGAGCGTCTGATCAACGACTGATTGAAATAGTTCAACGGCTTCGGTTATGTTTCTCGAAGAGTCGGCCTGTGGTATTGGGCTCATTGCGCTGATTTGCAGGATTCGTGCCAGGTTGTTCCGATTGGCGAGATACTCCAGCTTCGTGGGTCGACCGAGATGAACCGCCTTCCGCGCGAATAGCACGGCTTTGTTGAGATCGTCTGCATCGACTTTGTTCATATAGCGGGCGATCAGCAGACCAGACAATGTACTGAGGATTGTTTCAGCAAAATGATTCTGATCAGACGTGTTTCGTTCCGCATCAGTCGCGCACTGTATCGCTTCTTCCAAGTCTTTTTCACCACCCTCTCGGTCGAACCTTAGCCACAACACGCCAGCAAGGTTGTGCATGCGCTTCGTACGTTGAGAGCTATCGAGTGTTGTTCGATCCAATGACTTCCTTGCAGCATCAATCGCGCGATGAATGTCCTCTTTGACCTGCATCAGCTCATATCGGAATCGAACTAGGCCTGTGAGAACGTTCCAGTATTCTTGAGCATAATCACTCCTCCCCTCAGCTAGATGTCCTATCTCATCGAGCTTTTCAATCCCTCTGTCTAAGTATATCACTTCTCCATGGCATAGGTACATTAGTCCTTGGCACGATGCACTCTCGGTTTCGTACTTTAGAAGCTTCGGCGAGTTCGGTGGTAACAGGGTTGCAGCTTCTTCTGCGATCGGAATTGCTTTCGCCAAGTGTTCTGGTTCTCGTGTGGTAGAGTACAATACTCGTAGCTTAACGGCAAGGTTGTGAAGGTGAAGGGCCCGATCCCTGTCTGTCTCGGCTGGCAAGATGTCCAGAATCAGTTCCGCGAAGTACACCGCTCTTTTGACATCGTTGGGGTCGTTCGTAGCTTCGTATCGAAGATTGAGCATCATTGATGCCTTGTCGCAACAGTCGGCTTTGGCACTCGGGGTCTGGACTTTGCCGAGGGCCTTCTCAAGGTAACGAACGCAACGAGTGATATCATTGACATCTTGGAAGTTCTGGGCACGGCATCCTTTGATCAGAGCAATGGCAAAAGACCACCAAGCCTTTCCATGGGAAGTCAAGATCCAGACGATTCCCTTACGAGCATCCTCGGCTACTGCGTGGCGATATTGTTCCAAGTGCGTCTGTGAAGACTCGATGTCTGATGGGTCGTAAGAGTCGTTCTCTGCCAAACGAAGCACCCACTCATGCTGCTCCAGGATACTAACTAAGAGCCTGTGCCTTGACAACAACAGTTCGCGATGCACAGGCATAATAGCGTGAATCGAACACTGTAACCAATAGAGCGCACATGCAAGGTCCTCTTTGGAGTTCGTTCGTTTGAACTTGATCATGAAAAGGTTGCTGACTTTCGCATGAACCCGGTGTTGCATATCTTGATCCTTTCCATGCAGTGATAAAATCCTGTAAGCTGCATCGATTGCAAGATTGAGGTCCGATTCTGTCATGGTGCGAAGGAACATGAAATAGCGTAAAGAGGATAGGCACCAGACGTCCCCTGCTCCTTCATTATTCTCAAGCAGTGTTATCAGCCCTTGAAGTGTGTCGACATCTGCCGCTTCGAACGTTTCTTCCAATTGTTGTCGTTCTGCAATTACTTGCGCCTGCTGTTCGTTTACGCTCTCCGTGTCCATACCTAGGTATTTGGTCTTTTACCACTGCTGGTTCTTGTGCACGCGGGGGGTTGGAAAGACTTGGTTATAGCTATCCAGGAGATGGGGAACGGAAAGGTGATGTTTACACTTCTCCGCAGGCAGTCTTTAAGCGGGGCCTTCGCCCTGACGCTACGGCTCGCAGTAGAACAGACATGTGGGCTGCGGACGCTCAGGTTGCCTATGTGAAGACGTCAGATTTCGAGGAGCGCATATGCATCAACAAGCCATTTGGGGGTCAGCTGAAGTCTAGCCCTCGGTGGCGTTCTCAGCGCGAAGGCTCAAAGTCCACAAGATCTGATTGGGTGACATAATTCGAGCTAGTGCTGGTCACGAGGTGCCTGGCCAATGGGAACGAGCAGATCTCGCTTATGTCTTCCGAAACTGTCTTATCACCCATCTCACGCCTCCACGCTGTTCTAGGGAGCTGCAGGCCGGCGTACTGTGTGAACCAACTTCTTGGTTGATTCCTCAACAAAAGCCGTCGCGAGCTCTCGACACAGACCCGCGTTGTGGGTGACCGAGCTGCTGTTGGACTGACTGCGTCGCTTCCTTAATGAGATTACTCTTATACCTTGTTTCTGGCTAATTCTTCTCAACGACAATTGCGAACATGGCCCCAGGTGTATTATCCACCCTCCAGCTCAAACACCCTATCGCACTATCTGAAGTCAAGCTGGGCCGTCTTATCACCAATCCTCTATATCCGGATGACAACTTCTTCCAGCCCGAGGCATCGAAGTTCGCAGAGCATGACGATGCAAACGCTCGGAACACATCTACGCCAAGCGACTCACCACCTATGAAGGTCTCAATCCAGCCATTCCACAATTTCAATGACACTCTGGAGCGCTCACGCGGAACAAAACTGGAGCTCTCTTTATTAAGCTTGCTATCAACATCTACAAACTTCTCTAAGGGCAGTTCCAGGACCATTGAGAGCCCTCTGTGCCTCATCCACCAAGTGCGAAACCCAGAGTCTTATTTTGCAACAGTGTGCAAAGACAAGACAGCCTGTGAATGGATGGAGGAGCAGAATCAATGCCCAAAGACATATGTTTATCTGATCTGTGGCTTCAAGACTTTGACGGACGCGACGTTGGAGCGAGATGGCACGAAAACGACTGAGTTCACACCTTCAGCTTCTTTACCTGTTGCAACAATCGCTGGTGCAGCAGCAGGAGTACCGATAGTTCTTCCAGATGGTGTAGGAGATGTTGAAGTTGGCATGGGCATCACAAAAGAATCGAGCGAGAGTCTGGGGTACTCTGCACCGGGAGAGCGCGTCTATGCGTTGCAGTGTCGAAAGATCCACTTCAAGCGCTTCTCATCAAAAGTCGACGGTTCTCGTCTGAAGAAGAAAGATGAGAATTGCTGGATATCGTATATCGATGAAAAGTCAGGGGATACGGACGAAGATGCAGTCGAAGCAGAGCTCGCTGGTGCTTTTGGCTTGGAAGATATCGACGATGAGTATGAGACGCTTGAAAAAGTAGAAGTGGGCTCAGAAGAAATCTTGTTTCAATCCGAGTAGATCCACACAATGGCAATAGCTTGATACTCAGGAGAACTATTCGCGTATGAACTAAAGAAGTCATGCTGGTCGTATAGATTGATCGCTTGTAGCAAGCATTCATTTGGCTATTGTACCAGCGCCTGAACATGGAAATCAAATGTTTGCCAATCGTCGTCCATCTTTGGCTGTTTTGAAAGGGGAAATGCACCATCGCGACAAAGAGGTGCTAGCTCTTGCAGGAGATCGTCCAGATCCTCAGCTGACTCGTTTCCTCTCCAGTAACCTTCATCCTCAGCGACTCGTAATTTCAGTAACGCCATCGCGCTCAGATCTTTCTCTGGCATAGATACGAATATCTTGAACGTGTCCACAATCGGGATTTCGCGTGCTGCAGCAGCCTGCAAGGTATCCGAAATCTCTACAAAGAGATCTACATTGAGTTGGTCATGGGGCGCAATACTGTAGAACACGTTTGAGTGCATGATCGAAATTCCCATTTCAGGATTGAAATTCAGGATGACGCAACCGATGGTATCTTTGGAATTGTTCGTGACTTTAAAACGGAACAATTCCTTTTGTTGCACACGATATACGCCGTCTCGCTGCCGTTCCACGCTCTGAGCTGCAGGTAACCAAATTGAGTCATCGGTGTCCTCGTCCACAACGTGTTCGCGACCGTTTGGCGAAGGCTCAAGAGTGACATAGGCCAGGTCTGGGAGGTTGCCAAGACGAATGTGTGGATTCTCTAAGCCTTTCAACAGTTTGAACCGGGTTATGTGCTCTAGGCGGGAGATGAGCTTGGACATGCTCTCATTGCCAGTAAGCGAAGTCAGCGTTTTGGAGATATGGTCAGGGAAAATGTCCCCAACGCACTTAATCCGATAGAGATCGTCATGATCCAATTGGATTTGGAATTGAGCGTCGTCGTCATTCGATAAGTACAGCTTTTCCTTCCCTTTCAGGCTATGGTGCCAGTCGTGTTCAAATTGGAGAGCTGGGGTGCCATTGGCAGGGATGAATCGGACTCCGGCAGTTCCTCCTAGCGGTAGGCTTTGCAATACGGCTGGGCATCCAACTTCAAGCTCTTGCCATTGTGATTCCGTAATGCTTTGTGGCTGAAGAAAGACAGCACGGCACTCTCGCGATTTCATTTGTTCGACCCGTACTTTTGCGAGAATGTCTGATTCTGATATCGGCATTGCGGGGTCGAAGTGGAGAGGAAGAATGGCATAGACGGAATGTTTGTATACTGCATCCATTCTGCCACCATCTAAGCGCAGCTGCTGCCTTTGCTTCTCCACTTGAAGTACTGTGAGGGTATGAACTCTAGACCTGAAAGCCTCGTCGAAGAAGAACCGATGCATATCCCCGATGATGAAAGGCGTTTGGGAGACCACCAGTTCCGCTATCTTTGAACGGACTCGATCGTAAATGGCACGAGTAGACAGCCGTGTAGATGTGTTTCGAAGCGTATCTAACAGCCAATAGGAGAGGTACCCGTGCCTGTAAATGTCGGTGGCTGTTCTGCAGGGATATTCCTTTGCCTTTTGGTAATCAAGGCAGGCAGCGAGAGTCACAAATCCGCTCGGTGATTCCAGCCAGGAAGCCTTGCCAGCCCAATGTTGCACTCTAGCCATGTTGTCAGGAACATCGATCTCTTGGTCCGACTGGTAAGTGCCCCGAACGCCACGGACCCCTTCAACTTCTTCGTCATCATCTTCACCCCGCACCGCACCGCCGGAGAAGCAACTGTCGAGTACCACTGTAAGGACCACATCCTTTGCAACGATGTCCTGCAAGAGAGCGCCGAGTTCCAGATCCCTGAGGTATTTGCCACCCTGTTTGATATCCCAGGGCACAAGACAATGATCAATGTTTCCGTGGCCCTGTCGCAGAGATTCGAAAACTGTCGTAGCACACGCTCCGTGTCCAGAATAGTGGATGTAGATAATATCCCCTGCGGCAGATGTCCGAGCAAGATTCTGTAAGGTGCCAACGATATTCTTGTACGTCGGTAGTTTGTGAACCTCACTGCTCTGTTCGTACGGGCTCGTGGTACCTGGAACAGGCGCGAGTAGTGTATCAATATTGCCAGCAGGAACTTTCAAGGTACGGAGGAGGTATTCCCGAATAGCGAGTACATCGTTGACGCAGCCCCGCAGATTTCTGTATTCGACTTCGTTCCCGCTAGTGTCTTTCCTTGGATGTTGATCCTGTCCTTGAACCTCATACTCATCGATGCCCATTAAGACAGCTCTTTTGGTCGTCATGTGGCGAGGACTGTTGTGCGTCACACTAGGCTGTTCGTTTTCGTTTCGATCTCCAGTCTGGGCTGTTGTGACATTCGCAAGTCCAACCAGAATGTACATATGGAGCCGATATATCGTTACGCGCGGCCGTTACCAGATCTTAGGCTACCTGGGTAGCGCGCCACGGGCCGCCATCAGGGCGTTCTTCAGCTCTGCACCCCTAGCGTGCGGCGCGAGCGACACACAACAAGACGGACCACATACCACTCGCTTGCGCCGCGCAGACTATCCTCCTATCTTGTCTGCTAACATACTACTGGCACTTGAGGGAGAGGCGCCACGAGGCCACCCGCATATGCGTGGCGTTATTGGTAGCAATACTGTCTGCCAATTTAGACACCCATGAGCCAGAAGCTGCACGTACTCCACGGTATCGAGTCCAGACACTCTCAGCTTTGCAGCCACGGCGTTGCGAAGGTGTAAGGCTGACCAATCAAAGGGCGCGGATACCATAGAGATGTAGAAGACGCCTGCAAATGGGGGACTTTGCATTACACAAACCCGGCGAGCTGAGGGGGTCGAGGCGATGACCGCGCATGCGTGATCTGACTTCCAGCGCCGCCGTTCGCTGTCAACGATTTAGCTCTCAAAAACAAATAGCTTCCTGCTCACATGCTGCTTGAGAGCGGTCGCGGCCCTTGGGTAGCTGTATGAATCCGGCAGATACCTAGGTAGCGCAAAGACTCGCCTGTACCCTGTAATTCTCGCCAGTCTTTGCCGCTGAAGGCCCCCTCGCGTGTTGTGGTGTCGAGCTGCGGTTGCGCATGGGGTAAGTGAGTCTTTCTGGCTTCGCTCCACCGATGCGCAATGCTAAATCGCGGTATCGCATCGCGCGATGGCGTTCGCAGGCATTTCCGCCTCCACAGTAGCGCTTACCTTTCGACCCCGCACAAACAGCGGATAGCGCCGTTGCGCTTGCTAATTCGTGTCTTGGTCTGCTCAACTAGGTCTGGAGGATTGCAGTTCAACATACATGATGACGCAAGACGGCGAGTTCGTGTGGACTTCGACAGCAGAGGGGCGCCAAGCCACTAGTGTTTCCCCACACTAGCGCGGATGCGACGGAACCTTGGAATTTGCGGCCTCAGCGTGTGTCAGGGGGATTTCGCGCATCGACATACTGAACCATGGATCACCTTACTTCCCACACTTCTCACTTTGCGTGTCCAACATATGCATCATATGCGACCCTTACCCATACTTTGTTGTTGTTGTTTCCTCAGAGGTTCTCCGTTTTGCTGCGGGTCGACTGCCAGGTGTCACCGCCCCGAGGTCATGCGTCATGCGTCATGAATATGACATCCTTCACCCCGCGTCTCGATACTAAACGAAAGGCAATGCCTCTACAGGAGCATCGCGTGTTAGATGCGCCACAGCTCGGAATAACTCATGAATAATCCTCGCATTCTCACGACAAACACCAAAAGCGATACAACTTTGGGCCATTGCTACCTAGGTACCTGGTCTACGTCATATCAATGTAGCCATCGTCACCTTGTGCCTGCTGAGCGGTAGCTTATAGGTCCCTACACAGGAGTAGCGGCCTTCTTAGTACACTGACACACGGCATAGGTCGAAGAGAAGTCAAGTACCGACACCATTGCGATTGGGCTCTAATAGTCTTGATCCGAGCCCAGGATGCAGCGACAGAGCCTGTTGATACATTCTTAAGGGGGTAGCTGACCATGTCAAGATGGGTCATTTCAAGCCATGTAGTACCTAGGTAGTCGCGACGTAATCTTGGCAGAGGCGCGAAGTCTAGAGTAAGTGTTTCAAAGGTACCGGAGGACTTGGCCAATCACGAGTCCATGTCGATATGAGGTACAACATCTCGGAATCTGGGGTAATTACCAGGTGTGTATGGGTAAAGGGCGATTACGAACGAAATCACGAGCCCAATATCCCGGTCGTTGGTCACTACAAGACAGACATAATGTGCTCATCGCTTCCCGTTTTGAGGAATTCTTAGGTCTATCGACAGCAGCCCGTCACATCACGTAGAAATGCGACTCTCAAGCATCACAATGTCAGCCTTTCTTACTGCCACTGTCCATGCCCACGGCCGAATAACCCAAATCACGACATCCAGCGGGGAGATATACGAAGGCTGGGATCCCGCTTCCTCGGACGATCTGATAACTCTGCATCCACTTGCGGCATGGTCCGCGTCGAATCTCGGCAACATATACGTCCCGCCCTCGCAGTTCAATACGTCCAACATCGCCTGTCACTACAACGCTATACCAGGCGCTCTTCACATCAATACCATCGCCGGTGACGAGCTAAGACTACAATGGAACGAGTGGCCAGTATCGCACGTCGGTCCAGTCATGACGTATCTGGCGGACTGCGAGGGTAGCTGCACAGACAGGAAAAGTAGTGACCTGTCATGGGTGAAGATCGATGAGCTAGGCTGGCTGAACAGTACAGGCTGGGACACATTGGATCTCGGTGGGACGTGGGCCGCCGATGTGCTCATTACAAATGGGTATTCTTGGATGGTCAAAATACCGGAAAGACTCGCGGGGGGCTACTATGTGTTGCGACATGAGATCATCGCGTTGCATGTTGCCGAGGAGCTGGATGGTGCTCAGGCGTATCCGCAGTGTGTGAATTTGCACGTTGCACGGAAGTCGAGTGAAGAAGAGAAGAAGCTGGTTGGTGGTATTCTGGGAAAAGAGTTATACGGTATGAAGGATGAAGGTATACTGGTAGACGTGCATCGGAAGCTTGCTGGGTACAAGATCCCGGGGCCGAAGCTATGGGAAGATGCGACACGTATACGCCAGCCTAATCAATGATGCTGCATTCATTTCATGCTGAGAGCGAGTCGACTTCCAGCTTACTCGAAATATTCGACTCACCCAAAGGATCATATGATGAGTTCTCGAGGTATCTTACCAGCAATTCCACCACCTTGGCGCCTGACCAATCATACCCGCGATTGCATGAATTGTAGAAGGCTTTCTGTCTTCCACGCTGCGTCTGGGCGGTCAAAATTCTTACTACCAATCGCAAGTGCATCAGATAGTAAGTCTATAAGTTGCGTCAATCACGAACATGTTTGAGGCGCCTTTGATCTCATCTCATCTTGTAGCAAGCTGAAAAGCGCTCCGGGTGAGTCGTACCGTAGGTATCCTGCCATTACTACGGTGTCTCTGACAGTCGACAATATCTTGGAACTACTACGAATGAGAGAAATGCGGAGTTTGAGTGAGTATTACAACTTAACAGTCACTGTGCCGGGCGTTTATGAAAAGCTAGTCATCTCACCAGCCCGTCCGGGAAAAACATTGCGCAATGGAGGATGAATTATTGCGCAATGGGCGACAATTGCGACTACAACTCCACTTTCAGTATCTCCCATCCAACGCGCTCAGGCCAACGCACAAATATAATATTGCTGTCCGGACCCGACGTGCATCACTTCTACTTCTACCTCGACCCCGACATCCAGCCGCAGAAAACGTTGCAAGCATGTCTCAGTTGCTCGACCTACCGATAGAGATCTTCCAGCTCACGATGAGCGAACTGGTAAAGAAGCACGGTATACCAGACGCGTGGAAGGCTCTAGGAGCCAGCCGTAAGTACCAGTACAACAACTCCACAAACGATATGCAAGACTGACAAACTGCGACATCAGGAGCGTTTCGCGACTTTATCAAGTACGCTGTCCTCGCCAACCCCTCTCTGAACGCCTACCTCAAGACGCCTGCCGGCCGCAAGATCCTCAGGGAGTACCTCGCCGACTTCCTCTTCGTGCGAAGCAAGAAGCTCAACGGCTTTGTACGCAGCCACGTGCCGGACTTCATCCGCGATGTCGTCCTAGCGATGAGTCAATGGACCGCCAACGACGTGGAAGAGACTGCACTCAGGAAGGCGCTCTGCGAGCAGTTTGTTCGCCGCCATCCCGACGCGTTCAGATACGTTACCACTCGTATCAGCAGACTGGTTGGCCATTACGCGCGATCCTTTTCGGTCACTGAGACAGCCAATCTGGTTGCTGCAGCCGCCGCGACTGGAAATCTCAGCGCACTGAAACACTTCGCGCGCACCGAGAAGCGACTGTTGTGGTCACAGTCACCAGCCTTTGGATACCCACTTGACGTCGCGGTGTATGCGGGCCAAGATGCCGTCGTCAAGGCTATTGTGCAACAGGCAGTTACGAACCAGGGTCGAGACTTCGCCGGGCAGTCATACACCGAGCACTACTCTTTCTGCGAAGCTATCCGCACTGCTATCGAGCTGAAAGACATCCGGAAGCTGAAGTATCTCCTGAGCAAGTACACATCCGCGTTCGGCTCAGCAACCGAATGCTGCGTGAAAGCCTGGCTGAAGACGACAATCGAGTTTGGCGGCGAAGATGTACTCAAGCTCATTCTTAAAGTGCCTTCGCGATACGGTCCATCGATCATGTACGCCGCCTTTGAAACAGCATGCCGCCTTGCGAAGCCAGATCTCCTCCATCTGCTGTTCGGCTCTCAAGTGGGTCAAACCACTCTATCGATCAACCATGTTGAAGACTTCACATACCCCCTACTCACCGCCGTCAAGGCTTGCGCGACACAAGAGGATGCCATCTTCATCAAGGAGCTACTCAAGCTGTGCGCGGACCCCAATGGTCCTGCGTACTTAGCCAATCTCGATCGACCCCTCGTAGCGGCGATGCGTGACGGCAAGACCGCCGCTTGTCTGGTATTGCTTGAAGCTGGTGCTAATCCGCATTTGGTAGCATGTACGAGATGGGTGAACAGGATGAGGAAGCTATACCCCAGGGATACAGAGGCGGGCAAGGCCTTGAGGGAAGCCCTGAAGATCTGCGAGAAGCCTAAGGTAGCCAGAGACGAGGACTTTCTTGTTGAGGTAGTCGAGGCAGACGAGGAAGTGGAGATGGACGGAGATGACGAGATGGAGCTGTGAAACACCTAGAAGCCTGCATTACGTCGGGGCTATGCTCTACTTCCGCTTTGAGAGCAGCGTAGACTGCAAAGCCGCATGGAAGTCACTAGATAGTCTTGTGCTTTAGAAATGTGAGAGGCGTGCGAACTTGTGCTTTGAGTGGAATGCGCAGTATCACTGTCCACGGTTGATCGTAATAAGAAGATAGAAGACGAAAGTGACAGATGATGAGAAGGGTGTTTGTCGTGGGCGTACGGCGAGAGGAATGAGGAGAGGACGCGGAAGGAGAGTTTTGACATGGTGGGGCTTCCGCGGGAGTGACGAGGCCGATCATCGGCGTTGTTAGGCTGATGTCTAGTTGTTGTCTGCAGGGCGTAATTCTCAGGGGCGAGGTCAGTCGTATTTGAATCCTTCGCGTAGATGCTGTAGCTTTCGTCACGAAGGTCGTTCTGAGAAGGGGGGCGCATGAACCCGGCTTCCCGTGTGGCGCGAAGTTTGCTGCGACCTCACGAATGGGCTACCGCATTCGGAGCGGCATTGCCCGTTCGCGGATCCAACCTTCTTCCAACTCGCCGCGTTTGATCCTGTCTTCAAAAAAAATCCTCGAGTGCTCCCAATGGTTCAGCGGCGCATGAATACTTGTTGTGTCCAACACACACCCATGTTGCGATGCGCATCGCCACCGGTGCACGGCCGCTACCAAGATACCATACAATGCGCACGTCTTGCCAGCCGTCCTTTAGTCACAAGCCTCCCAAAAGGATGGAGTTGCGTCGCCCCGTGATACTTTCTGGTCTCCTGTATGGTCACATAATATAAACTCATGTCACCTGGGTATGATAGGAAGTCGATCCGCATTCTCAGCCGACAACGAGAATTGTTCCTACGTATGCCCAGGTGTCCAAGCAGATCGCCCGATATCAACATCTCAAACTCATAATGCAAATTGTACCCGAACTCGTAGCCATTGAAAGACACCCATACAACAACAGGATTTACGCCCTGCAGACAGTCCTGGCTACATCCTAACGAGGACTCAGGTCGTAGTTGCTTTGGACGGCCATACAGGCTATCGCGGGCTCTCGCTCGACCTCGCCACTCGCGATCTTGCGCTTCAGCTCCGCCCTCTCTTCTCGGTCCTTCTTCATGTTTTCGTCGCGCTCGTTTTTGGTGCCGAAGCTTGGAATCAGCTCTGAAGGAGGGTTCATCCACTGCCTTCAATCGCGGGATCAAGTCAGCCAATGCTCCACTTGCTCAATAAGGGTGCCACGGGCGGCGGGACTCACTCTGGTGGAACTGTTCTACCATCAACCCCGCGGAACCTATCTTCCTTCTCCTGATTCCAAGGACCTCTGTCCAACCATGATTTGATCAGCTCTGGTGACATCGGCTTGGCATCGAAGATTTCGATTTGAGTGACCTGGTCGGGAGGCCCGGGTAGGTACCGAATCACTCTCATTACTCCATCTCTGCACATCATGTGGAAGTGGGGGCCGTCTTCGCACTCTTGCATAGAATCGATGAAGATCTCCAGTGGGTCTGTCTTGAGTCTCGTTTGAGCAGAACCAGTGGCTCGCTCCATACCGCCTTCGTGTTGAGTTGGGTCTGCAGTTGAATCCTTCTCGTTCTTGGACATTATCGATTCGTTCTCGGTCGAAGGAAAGGTTCCGGCGCCCAGCACTAGCTGTAGCTTTGATTAAATGTAACGTCGGTTAGAGGGTTAAATAGAGTAGTGAAAGCAAGGAGCGCCGTGTCGCGCAGAGGAGAGAGCGGCGCGCAAAAGCTGGCATGCGGGGCGTACTTATAGATGGCTTGTCTAGTGCTGACCAACAGCATCCTGTATGACGTAGCCTTGCGATTCACCCCCTTCGCAGCCACGCGGGTATACAGGATCAAGTACGTTGAGGGCGTTAGGAAACCGAGAAGATGCACCGGCAGTGTCCTATAAAGCATCCACTCTGTCCCACAATATGGACATTCTTCGAGTACACTACAGTCAGTAATACTACTCTGTATCCGTTCTATTCGTTCCAGATAATCGCAATGAGACTCTCATCATTCCTCCCCGTCGGTGCGACCTTTCTGCTAGCAGCAGCAGCGGCCACAGCTGATGTGGTAGGCAACCCAGAAGGCCGTTTTCATGTCAACAATTACTGACAGTGCGTCTCTAGTCGCTCGAAGAGGCACTCAAGAACTTCAACGACGGCGCCGTGATGGATATTGGACATGATGGAGTGCTTCGCAGCTTGAACTCAGCACGTGACACTGTGCTCGATTTCGTCCAGCTTAGTGAGCCTCAGATCGCTGAACTTCTTGCTAAAGTGGGCTCGAAGCGGTCTGCCACGCCAGGCGTGTAAGTCTACTCCTTCGAGATCTCATATCAGTCACTGTAGTGAATAAAACTAAATCCCGGTTCAGTGATGGACGCACCGTAACGTCTGAAGCTCAGCTATGGGCCGTCCCAGACGGGATTGTCGCACGCGAAACAAGCGCCAAAAGATCAGAGGCAAAGATGCCAGGTGGTCTGTCTTTGCATCAGAGGGCAGAATGCGATGCTGGCAGACTCTGCAATGAGCGAGACGATTGCTACGAGTATAACTGCGCCCGATGCCTCTTTGACACAGGGTGTGTCGGAGGTCCCGGGGGCTGCTCGAGCCCCAACGGCCAGTGCGCGTGGAATTTGTGAGGGCTGATGCTGAGGACTGCCTATTCTACCATTGACTCTGCTTTGGAAATCGTGGCTCAAGCCTATCACACTCGTTAGCATCCAATCAAGTCAAATACATTCCCAGAGTATACCGATTTCTTGTTTGCCCGATATCTCATGTGACTGCGTGGATGGTTTGACAAACAATGCACGACTCGACCGAATGAATACTTAAGGCTACACTCCGACTCCAGGCTTCTACTAGCTTTCATTGTACAAAAGCGCCCTATATATCTGCTCTTTTCGCTTCTTTGCTTGGATCACAGACTTCTGCCCAACAACACTCGTCTACATATAGGTGATCGACAGCCACAATCTCCCACGACTACCTCTTCGAAACACACAATCAGCCATGTCGTCTACAGTACTAGTCAGCGACCTTCCTTCCAACTGCGAGTCATCCTACGTCTTCATCGAGCTACGTTTACAGGACGTTGAAGTCGAAGAAGTGTACGCACGAGCGGGAGGAGGCGAGTCCGCCTGGATAGTCTTCAAGGCCCCCGACGTCGCCGCAACCTTTGAGAAGAACCACAAAGGCTACCACTTCGGGGCAACCGGCAAGAAGATCGCGACCTCATTCTGGAACGAAGCCATTCCCGAATTCGCCACCAATCGCTATTACGACTTCGTCCGCGCCCGGGATCACCAAATTCACTCGCGCACCGTTGAGATTACCGGTCTTCCCGCAAAGCACACTCTGAGTGACATGAACAAGTTGCTAGAGTCGGTGCGAGACCAGTACCTTGAGGCCACCAAGCAGAACCAACGTCTGAACCCAACCGACTACGGCTACTACGAGCCCATCAACATCCTTCATGTTAAAACATGCGACCCAGGAGTCGGGCTTTTGCAGCTCGCACAGCCGTGGATGGCGGTCGAAATAGTACGCCAGTACGCGGGTACCTACTGGAAGAACGCGACTCTCAACGCTCGGTGCGTCCCTGATGAAGAAATGGATAAACTGCTTGTCAAGGAACCCAGCGCTACGGACGTATCGCTCTTTGTCCGTGGTCTGAAGGTCGGTACTTCGTCGACAGAGGTGCGAGAGATCTTCAAGGACTTTGCCATTCGCGACGTCAATATCCTACCAGGCAAGACATTCTGCTTCGTTGTCGTTCAGCAAGCGCACGCGGATTCGATACTCGCACAGTTCAAAGATGGCGTCAAGTGGCAAGGGCGCACTATCAAGGTGGACCTGTCGGACAAGGATAAGAGGAAGAGGAAGGCTGAGTTTGGTATGGTCGGGGCGCTCCCTGCTCCTGCGCCCACTGCTCTGCCGCCTACGGACATCACGGACTTGAAACTGAGCAACCTACCGTACGACGTCACAGACTACAAAATCCGCACCCTGTTCGAGGGCTTCACCGTATACAAAGTCGTCATCATGCAGGGCTACGCTTTCGTGGGTATCCCGACGGGGGAAGTCGGCCGCGCATTGGACATGCTGAACGACACGATGATTGGGGCACAATACATCAAGGCCAAGGTTGCTGATCCCCGGAAGAAGTAGGGCTGCAGGTCTGGTTCGGCGCTATGAAGGCGTCAAAGGGGGTTACGAGATGTCACAAGTGGGTTGTTGCGTGTCTTGTATATGTCAACTGGTACGTTGATGGTTACTCTAGAAAGTTTAGACGGCTTGTAGGCGCTTGAGTGTGGTAAGACTCTGAGGATTGCGATCTCTCTCATTTAATGAGGAGTACCTTTGCGTATGTGGTGGTTATGTATTTCGGAAGTCATGAGTGGCTCGTCTCGCTCTGCGTCATCGCAGTACCATGGTTGCCTGTGGTAATGAAATACTTGCAAATTAATTCACTGCAATGTTGCCCTCGTGATGGATGTTGCCTAAAGTTACACTGACCATGCCTTGTATGAGTATGCTCGAGCTTCCATAATTCTAGCGTATTGCGTCCCGATAACACTTGCTGCTGAGCTAAAGACTCGATCAAGCCGAACGCTCAAAGCTCAACCATGACAGACTACACCTATTACAGTTCATCCGCGTCCAGAGGCTTCACCTTTTTGATACCGTACCATGTCCAAGCCAACTTTGTCAAGATCACGAAGCAGCTACCTTCCGCCGTGCGTCCAGTCTACCGCGAGTATTTTGGCGACATCATGGCATGTCGAGATCGAGCTCGAGACTCCGCTGAGATGATGCAAGCGTTCGTGAACGAGAACTTTCCGCGGATTTCGAAGGACCATAATCGGCTAGCGAATCTGATGAATACGGAGATCGATAAGCAGAGGAAGGGTGTGTTGGTTAAGATACCAATCACGGGCGATGGGACAGCGGCTGAAGACGATGAAGACGAACCGGTGGCGCAACCGCGAACAAGGGAGCAGGGTGTGGCTACGTCCGACAAAAAAGTAACACCAGAAGCTGTGTCCGAGGTTTCTGCGGAGGCGACAGTGCGGGAAGAGTCCCCGAAAGCAGCTCCTCCTCCGACCATGGCGAATACCAAGCTTGTTCGGCCAACTCTGCGTGAGGGCCCTGCGACATCGCCGGCGTCCCCAACAGGCGTGAATGGTGAACAATCCGAGGTAGACGAAGAAGACAGCGAGCTGAGCGTGATATTGCTCGACACATCAGAGCCTTGGAACGACTCGCTTTGGCCACACGGCGCCTGGATCGACGGTCTAGAAGTCATCGATGCGCTTCCATGGGCGCAGCCAAAACCGACCTAAACGCATCGCTCGGATCGCCACCCTTCCCATATCAAGCCACACCACCCATACTTAATCCTCGTTTCTCTTTATCCCTGCCTTTATGTCCCAGAAGCAAGTGACCTGCAGCTTTCCGCGGCCGACGCACTCAGGGTTGTCGCAGTGGAAGCGCGAACATCGTTCTCGGTAGCGGAAGTCTATGTTACTGAGGCAGTACATGCATGGCCATAGGTCGACGTAGGGGAAGGTGGCCTTGATCTCGTACGTGGCGTTCCTACGCTGGGTTAGAGTGGCGTTTGAGGAAGACATCCTAGCACTCACCTCCACTTTTGGATGTGTTCTCGCGTGAGGTTGTGCGATGCCGGAAGGTCTTCTTGTCGGAGGGTCGGGGTGTCGCTTCGCTTGGCTGTTGAAGCGCCTGCATTCGTGGGTGTTGGAGCGCTTTGCTCATCGGATTGCCGAAGGTCACTGCTTCTCCGACGATTCTCGCGTCTCAGTCGTTGGGCGTTCATGTCTTGTGGTTGTTGGGTTTCCTGGCCGCTTGGTTTTGGGGCATTTCCGTATCCGAACAGCGGCATGGTTATCGTCGTGCGATCTTCGCAATAGAGGACAAAGGATTGTGGGTTAGTCAAGGAAGTCAAAGGAAATTGTCAGCTGTTCAGCGAACGGAGCTTTGTGTGACGGTATTCACTCGCGTAGCGCGTGGCATCAACCACGTAACGGTGAACTCTGGATTGTGAATATGTTCGGTCGTCGCACGGTTCGGAAAGACATGATGACGCATACTGTACCAGATGTTCCACGGTAAGCTGAAGACCACCTGATGCGATAGTAACATTCTAAACCGTCTTGGTCACGAGGCGGATATATCCTTCGCTAAACTTGTGAATTAACAGATGTCGATTTGCTGGGTATCGTTCGCATCTCCATGGTTATGAGTGGCTCTACAGTACAAGTCCAATACAGCAAGGTGGGACATGGCTGACGAGGACTGTAAGTCTTGCCATCGCCTTTCCAGCTGGGAAGAAGGTTTCTGCGCTTGAAGCAAGGCATCTACTGTGAGCGTTACAGTAATCGGGCACTAGGTGAGCCAGTTCAGCCGATGAGCCACCCCGAACATCAAAACACCCCAACCGTCCCAACCTTGCACGCGCCACAACTCCACAAATATGGACCCAATTCAGAAAGCGATTGAAGATATCAAATCGCGCGAAGACAGCGCATCTTTTAGCTATCGCGAAGTTGCGAAACGGTAGGGTTGCGACTAAACAACGTTGTCGCAGCGGCATTAGACGAAAACACGCCCAAATGCAGACGCTGCGCTCGCTCGACGCTCCCTCAGCCCACAACAAGAGCAGGAACTTGTTATATACATCAAAAGATGCACAAGAAGAGGGTTGCCACCAACGCGGGAGATAGTACAAAATTTCGCTAGTTTAATCAGGAAATGCGCGGTTTCTCAGAGCTAGGTTACGCGGTTCCTTCACCGTCACAAGAACGCGATTACACTCAAATAGAGCGCCCGAATTAACTGACAACAACACCTGGCGGACTCCCTATTCAAGTACAAGCTATACTTCGAGATGCTGCATTTAAGAATGAAATACTACGAGATTCAGTCGGAAAATACCTACAATATAGACGAGAAGGGCTTCTTTGTCAGCGTCGCGAAACCGTCGAAAAGAGTCTTCACCAAGGCACTTTAGGCATCAAAAGAAGCCCGAGCGACCGTCCAGGATGGCAACAGAGAATAGATTACGCTGTTAGCTTGCGTGTGCGCTTCCGGGAAGGCACTGTCGCCAGCTCTAATATATCAGGGCGTTTCTAGGATTTAATCAGGCTGGGTAGACGCTGTAGAGGCCTAGAAACACCAGGTTTTCTTCTCAAATTCAGCCTCAGGCTGGAGCAGCGATAAGATCAGATTGTCCTGGCTTTAGAATGTATTCAACCGCGAAACGAGCGAGAGAGCAGCTCAAGATTACTGTCTCCTTATTCTTGACAGCTATAGCAGCCACGTAACGCGCGAATTTATAGAGTATTGTGACGCCCACCAAATCCTGCTATTAGTGTTTCCCCCGCACGCAACCTACAGTCTCTAGCCGCTTAATATCGTCGTCTTCGCGCCTCTAGCAAGGCACTACTCTTCAGAACTTGATCGCCATCTCCAGCAATCGCTAGGGCTGACGAGAGTAACAAAACAGGACTTCTTTGTCATCTTTTAGGCTGCCTAGGGCACTACAATAAGGCAGGATCTCATCGTACAGAGCTTTAAAGCTACTGGGGTGTAGCCAATAGATGCGGAGGTTGTGCTAAAGCGCTTCAACTCCACCACTTCGCAACGAGATAGAAGTCCAAAAATCGGGGACAATAGCGACGGCGACAGCTAGAACGAGCTCCGAAAAATTTGGGCTAATACAGTGGCGGAAAGAACAAGTTCTAAAGCCAAACGTCTTAGGGTCGCACTTCACAGACTACAGACCTAAAACGAGCTGCTTCACGCTAAAAACGAGGCCCTCACGACCGCGCTTTTAGCCAGAAAAGAGCGTACAAAGCAGAGCAAGACTCTCGGGCTTTACCAGGACACTCAGAATCAAGGTGGCGCTCAATTCTAGAGTCCCCAGAGTCTACAAGCTGCCCGGGAGCGCGAGGCCGCAAAACAGGATAAAGCTGAGCAGCTACAACTCTAGAAAAGTCGCGATAGAGAGATCAAGGCGGCGGCAGCAGCATATAAAAAATCTATGGCCAAAGAGGCAAAGGCGCAGCGACAGCGTAAGCGTAAGGACGCTAAGATGGCGAAGAAAGCGAGGGCTAAGGAAGCCGCCCGCGCGAAGGAGCTCAAATCCCAACAACAAGCTGTCGCAACACTGAAAAAAGCTTAGAATAGGTTAAGTACAGCCTCACGAACAACCTCACGAAGCGCTGTCAAAAAAAAAGCACCGCGTTGTCGTGTTGTTAGGCGTGGAAATAGTGTTGCGCCTGCACTAGCGCCCCTTCCAGCACCGCCTAAAACAACAACACGCGGCCGGCAAATTAAGACACTAGCAAAATTTAATTAGATAGAAAGTTTCGCATACATCTATAAATTAATACACCAAAAAATCTCGCGATAATCGCTTTTGTAGGTGGCTGCGCAGCCTCATTTCTGAATTTGAATAAATTCGGTGGGGTGGCTCATCGGCCGAACTGGCTCACCTAGTGCCCGATTACTGTACTGATATAGGCGATCTCTGCGTCAATGACGACTACCGCGGTGTGCTTGATTGCATGCGTGGGTTCCAGGACTTGAGATGAAGGGCACATTCGCCAATATGCGCAAATGTTCTGAGCTCGATAGTCACCGCGACGGCAAGTTGGTGCATTTCTCGCACAGGTGGAAGGTTGAGAGATTGTTGCCGTTGTCGCGTAAGATCAAGCCGCACCAAGACGCCATGACCACCGCGTCGGCCGAGACTTCTCCGACCGCCGACGCCGACGGAACTTCAACCGCTCACAGGCAAACCTCCATCCTCCGACATCGACCATGAGATATCTGTATACTATTGCGTGCCACCCTTCCTCGACGCGCAGGCACTCACTGGATCCGATCTTCGCGATGCCTTCAGCTCGCTGTCCACGCTCTATCCCTGCCCCACCAGCCTGACTATGATCGTGAAGACCACGGTTGGGATGTCGTATGAAAGAGCCGGCAAGCTGTTGTTCTCGCACCCGACGCACATGTCACAGACTACGGTAGTGAACCAGTCATTCCAAGAGCAGCTCATGCTTCAAAATGATGCACAGGCAGGTGCCTTGGATGTTCCCATCGGGCATAGTGATGTAGGTACGCGCAACGATGTGAGCGTCGGAATCGATATTGAAAAGAGGACGTATCCCGAAAGCTATGTGATACGTCTACATTCCTGATATTTGCATGTGCAGATGCTCTGGATTGTTGGTGTGCGAGCGCGCCTACGCGTGAGCGACGGGTAACAAAACGAAGAAGAGTTGGATTGCGGAGGCGGGTTGAGTGATGGTGCTGAGAATGCACTTTGGACTGACCAAGATCGTTATCTATTTGCGAAGAGATGGGATGCAGGCAACGCGTGAGAGAGTACATGGGCAATCCCATGCTGGGCGATTCGGCAGCCTGGCGTCACTCAGAGGTGTCTGCGTCACTATTATACAGCGGTCACCATGTACAAGAACACCTCAGGTGCTTGAATTCGGTATCGTGCTTCTTCATTTCACTATGGTGATATGGCTGGATGATCTCACAATAAGAAGCAGAAATCATGGCTGATGCTGGGCACGTTCAGCGCCGCATATATTCCCCGACTCTCTCACCCCCAGGTCCTCCGCCCTCCGCTTCACTCCCCTAGCTACTCTACTCTAGAATGTCCACAATGGCGCGCCGACAACAGCGAAAGACGACCACCACGGCTAAGCTGGGTAATCTAGATCTTCTCCTTTTCGCTCTACGAGCAGAGCTTGGCCCCGACTGGGGATGCTACAAGGAACTCATAGAGGGAGCCGTAGCCGCGAAGGCAAGCGGCGAGAATGTTTCCGCCTGGGTCGACCAGACCGAGCCGCTGGTACGAAGCACCGCTTCGCAATTCGCGCATCAGGGAGTGCTGTTTCTGTTAGGCATCAAGGTGGGTAGTGAAGGTGAGATGTCTTTCCTTATCTAGCACCTTCACGTCAAGACTAAACACTCTCAGCTTCTTCTGTTACCAAGGCTACCAACGCGACCAACGACATGTCCGCTCCACCTCCTGACACCCGACGCCCAGCGCAACCAGTACGGCCCTCAGCCAACATGCAGTCCGCCTTCACCTCCAGCTGGACACCCATGCCCTCCCCCAGTCCTAGCGCCTACATACCACCGACACCCACCTCTGTCGCATCCAGGAAACGCTCGGCGGCCAACGTCGCCTTCCAGGGTCAGAAGCAGGTGACCGCAACACAGCCTCTCAAATCCGACTGGTTCGGCGGTTACGTCCTTCACCAAGATCCCGCCTTTCGGCGCGACGTATTCGAGTTCTTTGGCCACGCAGTACCCGACAAGCCCGATCCCAAGCACCACGATCAATCCGATGTATCATCCGTGTACAAGGCCGCGGATGACGACCTAGCGGTCTGGAGGGCGGGCTCCGGGGCGGAGGGCGAGGCGAAGGACAGCGGTCAGGAGGGTCAGAAGGACAGGATCAAGACTGTGGAGGATGCGAAGCGAGAGCGTGTGCGAGAAGGTTTGCGCTTCAAGCTTTTCGACAAGTTGGATTAATATTGGCTGTTGATGAGGTGGTCGCTTTTGAAGTCAGGCGTCTGCGCGGGCTGACCTGGTGCGGAGAGGAGCGACGCACGATCTTGTGGAAGGGCAAATGAAATGCTTTTGGAGAGCGTGATAGGTGGCTGGGCTGGTAGGGAAGGCGTTTGGCGTCGCTAAAGGACGAATGATACCCCCGGAAGACTTGTGAATGAAAGTTCAGAAAACACACCTCTCCTCCCCCATCCATCTATGCAACCAACGCACATCTAACCTTCACTCATCCAAAGTCTACTACCACGTCAACCAAGAAAAAACTGGACAGGCCTGCAGCTTACATTAACATGGAAGTATGAAGGATAGATGGCCTGGCGTCGATGTAGGCTCCAGACCTGTTCAGGGCTTTTACTATATGAGGTGCTACAACTTCCCCGCCAACCCCCCCTTCTCAGCCTCAAACGGCACCGCCAAATTCTTCCCCGCCCACTCCTTCTCCGCCTCCGTCCCCGGCATCGGCGGCACCATCCCATTCACCTTCCACAAATCCCTATCCACATCCTCACAACTATACTCCCAATCATACCCTTTATCCGCAATAAACGGCTTCAGCGCCTTATCCACAGCATCCATAAAGCGGTGTTTGTGCTCGAGTGAAGTACTATTTCCAGTCAGCCGCGACATGACACGAGTCATATACACTAGGTAGGGATGTAAGTACAATTGCCGAGCAAGATGCTCCATCTTAATCCGTATCATGGGGACTGAGCTATCGCGGCCGGGCTTGTTGGCATCGGTGTTGGGGGACGGACGGGATATGCCACCGATGAAGAAGGATTCTGGTTGGATGGGCTGGAAGAGGACGTTTACGTAGAATCTAGGGAGGCCGACGATGGTGTAGAGTTTAGTGATTTCGTTTGCGAGGGCGGTTTTGTCGGCGAGGGAGGTGAAGGTGTTTGGGGGGTGATAGATTATCCAGAGAGGCATTGTTGAGGATGTTGTGAGGTTATGAGCGAGGGGAATCGGGATGATAGGCAATAGTGTTGACTTTCTGGATATGGCGTATACTACGAAGGCTTATATAATATCCAAATACATTCATGCCGACGATGTAGGTTTACCTAGGTAGGCTACACGTGATTTGGAATAGTAATCACGACCGAGTGGTTACTAAGGGCTGCGCTAATCATGCACCGCATTGGGACTAACAAGAAGACGTAGATCTTGGTACACCGCGCAAGAACGACTAATCATGAACCATCGCGGTCTTCTGGGCTTCGCTCTTAGATCTGAACTCTTTAAGCGATTAACTTTGGGTGTAACAATCATGGTGATTCATCGTTGCGTGGGAACGTGATTTTGTGGGAGTTTATTCCCCCGCATATTGTTACTAGACGGGTATCACTGGTACTGGATAGCAGTTTCGCGACTAGCGTGATTGGTAGACTACTATTACGTCCGTAACAATCGTTGGCTTGCCCGCGTTGAGGTATGCGGCTCTGTTCTACAACGGACCCGCGTTCACAACTCCGCCACAACCCTTCGTACGACTTCATCGAGATCTTCCTCTTGCAGCCCTAGCAGATCATTTGCAAAGCCTTCCTTCTCTTTCCAGTCCGCTGCAACAACACCCCACACTGCGACAACCTCCTCCCTCGCCTCACCATCTCCACTCAGCATCTTCGGCCGAGAAACATCCAGCTCTTCCTTGCTATTCTGATCGATGCGCTCGAACTTGTCGCCTGTAGCCTTCTCCAGCGCGGCAAGAACCTCGAGTTGCGTGACATGGTGGCTGTGGACGTAAAGCAGCTTGTTCGCAGTCTCGTCTGGCTTCTCCAGGATCTTGATGACAGCTTTGCCGATGAAATCCAGGTTTGAGGCGGAGAACTTGATATTGCCGCCGTCGAGGATGTATGCTTTGCGAGCCTTGACGTCGAACTTCAGTAGCCCGCATGTCATTCCCCAGTCGAAGAAGTGGCCTGTGACGAGACTTGTCCAGGTAAGCTTGCCCATGCCGTCTTCACGCTCCTTCCCCTCCAATGTTAAAAGGTAATCCCGAACGTCTTTCTTGCCCTTCATTAGCGGCAGAATCTCGTTCGTCTTGTCATCCGCAGAGTCGCAGCTGCCGAACTCAGCGGGCATCACGCGCTTCACGCCGGCTTTGAACGCGGCATCGATGAGCTTCTTTTGCGACTCGACATGGCTGCCTGCAATGGTGATGACGAGGGCGTCGATCTTGTTCTTCCGCAGTACTTTGGCCACACCGTCGACGTTTAGATCATCGGGGATGGTGATGACTTTTGTTTTGGGGTAGACGGATTTGGATGTTTGGCGATTGAGGACGAAGATGTCGAACTCGGAGGTTTTGAGCGCGTGGAGAACAGGTGCGCCGAGTGTACCTGTGCCGCCGATGAGGGCTACGTTGGTGATGGTCATTTTGTGTTGCTTTATCGATATGGATTGGAGGTTTTGCGGGGTGAGATGAAGTGCCCAGGGTCACGTTTCGTGGGGAAAAGCTCGTCGGCGGTTGCGGGCGCCTATTGACGGCCCTACCTACTCATGGAGAGGCTTCCATCACATCTTTCAAACGCGACATCGTACATTACGTGACATGCACCTCTACAGGTGTGCGACAAGGTGATTCCAGCGGTCGCGAGGGAGATACCGCGTTCTTGTGTGTTGACATCGATGATGTCATAGCACCTTCCGCAGCTACATCGCCTGCTGTCGCTAGTCTATGAAGCTGACATTCACGATGTTGTCGCCAACACTTCGCTTTATAGCACGCAGTTCCTGTACCACACTCGCGTATACATCCAATGGTTGAACACCGTATCCTGGTCAACGGTCATGTGTCGACTGCGCCGCATTGCATTGTGAATGCGCAGGTGCGGGGTGAACGCGACTTCGCATGGGAATCTACCTAAGTATACAAACGACTGGGTGATGCCAACGACCTTTGCGCTCTTCTTTCTCGCCTCGTGTTCTGTTGATAACTCGGAGGTTGTCAGCAGCGTGCCACAAAGCTGGTGTCACCTACTGCGCATACCTTTCGTCCCGACTGCTTCGAACCGATCTCGCCAGCAATACACCAACACCTGGTCTGGAGATCATGATGGAGGACCATGAGACGTCTTACCAGTATCAGCCAATAAGCGCTAGCGAAGAGATTCGTGTCCTTCGTCTGGAGCCAGGCGCATTCGATGAACCCCTCATCGGTAGCCTTGCGGTGCAGAAGATCGCAGATGATGAGACAAGCCCGCCAGCCTACGACTGCGTTTCCTACTGTTGGGGACCACAAGAGCAGTTTACAACCTTCACATGCGACGGCCGAAGCCTCCGCATCATGGTTGCGGTAGATGAGATGTTGCGATACCTCAGAGAGCCTACAATACCACATTATTTGTGGATAGATGCTAGTATGTCCCGACGTATGCTGCAAAGAACTATTCTGACCAGTGCTATAGTCTGTATCAATCAAGTCAATACACAAGAGAAGAGCGATCAAGTGCGTGCGATGGACAAAATCTATGCCTTAGCTCACTCGGTACGGATCTGGCTGGGTTCAGCGACGGACGAAGAGGTTGATTCTGTATGGCCAATGTTCAGCGCCAGCTCTGACGACCCGTATTACGAAAGCCTCACACAGATCGAGAAGAGAAAAACATGGCTACATGCTCTTGACGAAACGACTTCGACCTCTCGGTTGTTGAAACGGTTCTTCAATCGAGCTTGGTTTACAAGACGATGGATCGTGCAAGAGGTGGTTCTTGCCCGTGAGGTAATCGTTCATTACGGGCTTGATGAAGTTACATGGCATAGATTTTACCGGGGTGCGCGAGTACATTACACAGTTCTTCAAGAGCAGCGTAAGGTTGGTGTTTGTGATCTTACAACTGTGGCAAACCAGGTCTTCGACACTATTGAAAGCTTGGAGAATTCCAGGCTTCAAAGGAAAGAGCGTGTTTGGTTTAAGGGAAAGCGCCCAGAAACTCGGATTGAGAAAGTTTTGCAACTTCTGAAATTGTATCATACAGCTGAATGTGTGGACGAACGGGATCGCCTGTATGCGTTGTATGGCCTCTCATTGAGCATGAGACTGCCCGCTGCTCAAGACCCCAATTTGATGCGGCTGTGCCCTGTGGATTACAGCAATCACTTCTCGCACATCTACACGAAATTTGCCGTCGCCGCGATAGAATCTGGTCATCTTTACAATGTTCTCGCAAACGCGATCGAATTCGGAACACTCTCCCAGCAGAATGAAGGCTGGCCTTCCTGGGTACCAAGTTGGAATCTAAAGAAGAAGCTAAACGAAACTGAGGCTTGGCTCAAATTGGTCGCGCATAATCCTCAATTTGGACCGAATGTCCACGTCCCTCCCAAACTTCGATTTCCAAAATGGAAAGACCTGGTGACGGAAGATGAAGCAACGTATACCCAAAAGTATGCGACTAGAGCAATTCATCTCCGTGGTTCTATCCGTCGTATTTGCGAGGCTCAACCGAGCACCTGCAGTCTGGACGTGCTAGCGTATCTAGACACTATGCTCGATCGTCAATGTGTTGGACACGCCTTCGCGATGTCCAGATACATTGTGGCGTGGCTAGTGATGCTGGTTCTCTCACAGTACAGCAGAATACTGTTACGACCAGGCCTCGACCAAAAGACCTACTTGACTTTCAAGCCAATTTACCAGAAATAGTATCCGGAAAAGGACACCATCACATATATAGCTTTGAAGAGAGTTCTAGGGCTGCCTCTGGGAGAGTCTACAGAATGGAAGTACGACTTAGACCAAGACAAGTTTCTGTCCGAAGTAAGGCGAGTACTGCAAGGCCTCTATCCATTTCGCTATGATCACGATGGATCTCCGGCGCTCGGTATCGCGTTGGCAGAAGTAAAGACAGGCGATTTTGTGTTCCGCGCCGCTCAAGTAGCCAGTCAGAAGGGGGAACAGGGAGAACCTATGCCTCCAATCAGTGGGCTCATAATACGGCCTTATCAAGCGAGCGCTGTAGGCCTTGCCACTTTCCGTCTTGTTGGCATGTGCTTTGCCTACTATCCCGACTTGAAGGAACCAGAGTTGGTCGAAGTTGTCTTGGTATAGGGGATACAGGCTGGAATAGGCATGGAGATCAGGCCGGGAGTAATTCAAGGCTTCAAGACCACATGTACATTGCTTCACTCGGTCAAGTTGAAGCATACAAGTGTATAGCTAGCCTGCTTACAACGCTCATAACAGTAGCGTATATATCCTAGGTACGGCATTATCTTATCTGTAACAGGGCAGGCTTTGTTATAATCCTCAGCGCCCGCACAACACCGACACAAAGATGCCTGAGAGAAACACAACATCACAGAACATAGCAGTCAATCGCAACAGAGGAACCTGCAGTACATGGGCACCTCACACGAGAAACATATTGAACAAGTGTGCTGCCGCCTACATCGATACGATAACAAAAGCTTACAAAATCTCAACGCAATGTACCTTCTGAAGGTTGAGTCTTTGATGTTTGAGATCGCGCAATCCACTCTTACTATATCGACACAGAGTACCGTATACGTCGCCCCCCAGCCGCCAGTCAAAGCAGCACATCCATCACCGCGATTCCTACACCATTCGAAGGATGCGAACACAAGAGTGATATTCCTCATCGCCTTAGGTTGGACCGGAGGCTTGGCTACATGGGAAGACTGCTAGACGATGGGATTGAGAAGAAAAGTGGGTGCGAAGATGCGATGGCGTTGATGCCGGATCCTCGTGCGTTCAATAATCTGGCGATGGTGGAGGATGCTTTGCGAAATGCATGCCGAACACTCCAGCAAACCACATCAAAGCTATCGCGAATCTGCCGTATACCAAAGTACAACCTTAATGACTAGCCTGATCGAGGTACTAGCCCCAGTCTGAGTCGAAAGTGCGTCCTCTTCATCATTGCGACGAGTCGTGGGGTACGATTCAACAATCGCGATGGCAACCGCAATGGCGATTGCGACAGCGACAAAGATGAAGCGAGCGCCGCAGATGCGCCGGTATTGATATCACCAGGCATGAGAATCTTGCTTCACGATGCAGTTCCACAAGCCCTGAGCACGAGCGCGTGATGCGCAGAATCAGAATTGCGATAGGCGATATTCCTTCTTTTCAACATGAGCATTTGGTGTTCTCGATGCTTGGGAGCATTTCAGCGGTGTCTGATCCGGAGCGTGCATCGGGGCACCCACGTGCCGACGCAAGTTGCATCGAAAAGCACGGGCGAAACCGGAGACGGAAGACCGCCCGGGACCGCGATAAGCTTCCAAGGTTTAGCCCTCCACGCAATCCCCATCACCGTTTCCAATAAGAGTCACATCGCGGTGGGAGTTTGCCTCTCGCAAGTCCTTGTGACGTGCAGTGTTCTTCGAAGAACATTCTCGTCTTTTCACACGCCACTCAAATCCGCCCAACCACACATCTTAAATACATCACATGACGTCTTCAATCGTGAGCTTGATTTGACCAGCCGATCGCCATCGTGGTGTTGAGAATGTTTCAGCTGGGGGGTGCAGGCTCGCGGCGTCTGAGTGGGCCGGTTGGTGGTCGCCAGTGTGGAGGGCGGCACTAAGGGAGGCCGCGCATGCAGGCCAAGCCCAACGCCACAAAATGGCGCCGGCCGTCCAGGCTTGGACGCATAATTGACTTGGGCTAAGAAGAGTACCTTGTTCCACACGGCGAGGGTGAGGTGTAAACTTCACCGGATGGTGATCGAGGCCTGGTGGGCTGGTGGGAGTTGTGGGTGTTGCACGTACGGAGTGGACTATTGGAATGCGATAGTGTACCCAGGGATCGTATTCTGATCCGGGGCTTCCGATGCTATTGATGCTGTTGCCTGGCGTATGCGCAGTGCAGTGCGACAGCAACATGTTGCTGTTGTTCTGTCTCGCGTGGTGCCACCTACTCCCACCACGTTGATTCCCCGCGGACAGCCGGCAGCGGATGACATAACGACACTGAGACGACTTGAGTCGTTAAACGTTTGCTGGCAGCGACTTAGCGGATGCGCCCCTTGGCTAACAATTAGCGAAAGGCCCCATAATGATGTAAATTGCGCGAAAAGCAAACCTTGGGCGCGCAGCTGGCAGCGACGTCGTCCAGTGATGCGGTAGGAAGACGGTGACCTGACTGTGGTATAGTGAGTATGTCTGCTATTTTCATGTGAATTGCTTTGTCGAGACTTTTGTCTGAGACGCAAGGGCAACATCGCCAATTCCGGCAAGGAGGTGGGCTGACCGGGGCCCCCCGGCTAGCGCGGCTTAGGCCAGCCCGTACGTGTGGAAATGCGCTGAATGACTGCTCCCCCCGAACTTCGTCGTCGCTGCCCTTCATCACAACATCATCGCCGTCTGGCACACCATCCCCTCACCTTCCCCCCCACCACCGCCTCTCCACGGCCTTTTGTAGCCCTGCACGCCTGTAATACGCCCCTCTCTCCTGTATTCACGAATTCTTGCCCGGAATTTCGTGCTGGTGCGGCTGTCTCTACCTTATCAACCTTGAGTGGCCGATCATCGCGCCTCTTGCCCTCCACGTCACCACCACCTCAACGGCTTAACTGCTTGTTGCTTCTCTTCCTGCACTCCTTCGCCCGCACTTGATACCCCCTACCCGTTTTAATATTCTCTCCTGCACGACTTGCCCTTCGATTTTCCCGAAGATATAAGTCGCGCATTACTGTTGTTGCGCCTGCTGCAACGTCATCCTGCAGCCTCACTAGCACTCGACTTCGATGCGCACGACCCTCACAACTACAGATGAGCTCTGTTGGTTTTAGGCTTCCACTTCTTTCACAATGCAGTCCATGTTCCGCCTCCCATGGTGTAACGAGTCGCCTGGCGACAAGATCATGGAGAAGTCGACGCTCCACAAGTCAAGACCGCTGCCGGTCGACATGCCACCCTTCATGAACAACATGAATAAGATCAAGCGGAAACGGACTGACAGTCCTGAGCCAGTAGCGAAGAAGTGGAAGGGCGCGCACGGTGAGGTGACAACGTCGACGGTCAACGCAAATGCGAATGCAAACGCGAAAGCTGCGACCGACAATGGACGTCTTCCTGCTTCTGCTGAAGTGGATGCCCGACCCAAGGCACAGCCGAGGAAAGAGGGCGCAAGCAAGAGCAAGGCCGCGAAACCTCAGCAAGCGACTGCCAAACCTGACTCCATCAACACGCCATCGACCACCATGGACTCTGGACTGACCCCTGTGCAACAAGCCATCGAGGCGCAAATCAACTACGAGATCTTGCTCAAGCACAACGAACTTCGTTTGATTGAGCAGGAGCTCGCCAAGTGCCAGGTTTCCCTCGAGCAGCTGAGGCGTTGTTCGCTCATCCCGTTCCCTGGTACCGAAGGTCTTAGTGAGGATGTCAGTCTCGGGGTTGGTGCTTCGTTGCAACCCAGCTCTGGCATGACAGAACCGCAGTATGCTGCTCCTTGGGGAGTCACCGATGGCCCGTACACTCGCCACTACGCCAAATGGTTGATCTCGGATGCCAAGTTTGACCCCGTATCTGAACGCGCATTCGCTCAGCAAGCTCAAGGGTACTTTGGCACTGGTGAAGGCAGGACGACGCGCGGCAGCTTTGCTGACTATGGGTCTCACAGAGGCCGCACGTCGCGAACTTCGACTGGAATGTTGAAGCTCACGCCCCTTGGTGAAACTCCAGCACCAGCGCCCAAGGTCGACCCGTTGTTGCACAAGCGATCGACGGACGGTCAGTGGGTGCGCCTGTACTGCGCTCCATGTGGCCACAGCAACTTCTCCAACACTCAGGGTTTCCTCAATCACTGCCGGATCAAGCACACGCAGGTCTTCAAGAGCCACGACGCTGCAGCCATCGCATGTGGTGTTCCTGTGGATGTTGACAATGTTGGTACTCCTGTTGCCGCTGCCGAACCTGCGAGCGCTCCAGTTGCGCCTCCAGCCGTGTCATTCCCTGTTGTTGCCACTCCCGGCATCGTCCACCCACTAGCATCGCAATCCGCACCCGTCCCACAAGCCCGGGAGGTACACCGTGATCAGAACGCTTCCCCACGTGACGATTCCAAGGTTACCACCCCGGTCAACTTTGCCAAGTCATCATCGACGCCCTACCTTGCTGCCCGATTCGCCAACAGCGGCGCCCAAGGCGACTTCAAGGAGCTTGTCGAGACTGCCCGCGCAAAGGTCGACCTGGACGCCATGGATGCCTCGGATGACGACAGCCCTGCCCCGACCCCCGTGTCAGCAGTGCCGCCGCATCTAGCGCGCCTCCCTGCCAGCGGACCCGCAAGCAAAGCCCCGTCAGCACGACCAGGCAGCAAGAAGGGTAGCAATTCCAGCCACGCGCGCCTGCCGTTGTCGTTCCCGTCTCCCACCAAGTCTGAAGGCGATCATCACATGCCAAGCTCACCGGTAGATCTCAGCCCTCACACGGTTGAGTCGAACCCTGGGCTTGTCAGCGATCACGACGACGACGATGATGAAGACGCTGACGATGCACACAGCCAGCCTGACCTGTCCATCGGCGGCGACGACGTCATGGTCGAGGATGCGAGTGACGTCGAGGGTGTGCAGGAACGTAGGGGTTCACGACCAGCACTCCATGGATGCTTCGAAAAGGGAGAGGGAAGCCGGAAGCACTGAGCAGTAAGAGCGAGTTAGGTCCGGCTCACGCTGTTGCTGTTTCCCATCCCCTTCTTCCCTTACGATGTCACTTGTCATGGAGCTATGGTACTTTTTCTTTCTACTCAACACCGGCGGCTTTTCTCCATTCTTCACTTATACACGGGTTACCAGCAATGGACGGAGCCGGTCCGGCTGGCACAGGACATTCCAACATGTTCTGCTTTTGATTTTTGGTTCACTTATCCTCTTACCCGCGTGTCACTTGCTGCTGCTATTACTACTACTGCTGTTCTTACGGAAATGCCCTCAAAATGTGTCAGAAACTCTCATCTCACGAGTCGAGCGAGTCGTTTGCCTCTTTTCTTCCTTATCAAAGAAGAAGGGAAGTTGGCTCTTTAGTTTAGGCGCTGGAAACGTCGTGTATCATCACCTTTTGCTATATGTACGAAATTGGGTGGTGTCTCTGGTCGGTGGTTGTTGTTGGTTGTTGTTCTATCTTTTTTATGGGATGGAGTGGGTGGATTAGATGGATGCTTTGGGGGGTTGTGCTGGTACACTGGCATTTGGCTAAAATGATGGCAAGGAGTGTGAAAGCTTGCTTGCGCGATTTGTTTGCTGCCTTTATGTATATAACCTTTTTAATTTTATGGAAATCTTGTTAAACACATTGGATTCGATGAGTTTGTGTGGTATTGTGTTGGTCGTTTCTTACTTGCCACCGGTAGCCGTCTATCCATGTGAAGATTGAGTTCGTGGATGTGTGACTGGTAGTTTGATCGGCCCGCCCATTGCCCAGTTCCTGATGCTGTTCCCGTAACGCCTCGCTTTGTAAATGTGTCCTCCGCGGACATCTCTGTTCGCCTTCGCTACGATGTATCCTCATACAGCATAACAATCGGCTCAACTCATAAACTGCAGTACCTGTACATCGTCAGCTTCCGTTCTCGCATTCCCATATATCCCTCTCCCCCTCCCATCCCATTACACCCATAGTATCGAAGGCACAAATCGGGCTAAAATGCTTCCTTCGGAAGCAATTCCACTCACCGCCATAACAACACAAGCCAAACTAACATACGGGCTCAAACGCTCCCCCACACGCGCAGCCTTCCACACAGGCGAAATCCAATACTTCTCCTTGTTCCGGTCGAGGGGACCCGGGAAAGTCGCGTGCGCGTATGTGGCCGTGCAGATTGTGAGAAGGATTACGAGGAGTAGGGATTGGAAGTTGAAGAGTGCGGTCTGTGGGGGAGTTAGTGTGAGGGGGTAAGTTGGGGAGAAATGAAGAGGGGGAGAGGGGAGAGGGGAGGGGGACTGACCATCGTGATGGATGTAGATGTAGATGTCAAGGCGGAGTGTTTATCGTGGTGGTTTTGGATAGGTGTCGGATGATGTGCGTTCGTCGCCCGTAGTGTCTTCGCGTATATCTCAGCGTAGATGCGCTCGTAGTCAGAGAGGGTAGGTAAAGGTTGCTGCCTAGTGAAAGCGCGCGCTTCAGGCCAGATTGTCGCTTTACTGTAGTCGCGTACGTTGGTTGCGCCCGCGGACAACTGGTCTGTGCGCACTCCCGGCCGCCGCATGTGGGATCGTCATTGCAGCTCGCGCAGCGCGCTAGCTATTGTCGCTGGAACAAGCGCGACTGCAACTCGCGACTTCACCTCAACCATCGAAAAACGACTATTACGGCACTGCGGAACTACATCATACGGGTGTTACGTACAGGCATTACACGCGATTATTACGGATAGCTGCGCTGAAGGGACGAGCAAAGGAAGCGCTGAGAGAGGAGAACGAGGCAGTCGGACAACGACAAAGAGCGCAAGAGACACAGCATCATGACAGAGCCACGTATGCGCCTGCGGCAAAAAGGCCAGCAGTTCCCTACACAAGACTGTAAGTCCCCATACCCCAATCCATCAGCACCCTCAATGCGCACCACGCACCCCAAACCCCCATCACCACCTCCACCATTTCCACCACACCTTTTAACCAATCATACTAACCTCCCCCCAGTAGAAGCCTTCCTCCTCGCCTTCGGCGACAACGACTACCCCTTACCAGAAACCATGCGCGTCCTCGACGAAATCATAACCGACTACATCATCGAAACCTGCCACGAAGCCGCGTCCGTCGCGCACCACGCCCGGCGCGCCAAGATCAAGCTCGACGATTTCAAGTTTATGCTAAGGCGGGATACGGGGAAGCTGGGCAGAGTGTCAGAGATGCTGGAGACGGATAAGGAGCTCAAGAGGAAGAGGAAGGCGTTTGATACTGATGAGGGGGCCGTGCTTGTGGAGAAGGATGGTGCTGGGGGGGATGGGGAGGGTGGTGGAGGAGGAGGGGGTGGTGGGGGAAGGGAAGGTGGGGGGAAGTTGGGGAGGCCGAGGAAGAAGGTTGATGGTGGGGATGGAGAGGGAGGAGGTGGAGGGGAGGAGCCGAAGAAGAAGAAAAAGAAGAAGAAGGTTGATGGGGGTGGGGATGATGCTAGTACCGTAAGGAGTGGATGAGGGTGAGGGGTTTGATGGATGGCTGCTGCTGCATTGGTGTTCTGGGACTCAGGTTGCGGATGGCAACGGTCGCGATGGATGCGCAAGGCATACAAGCAGTTACATTGCGGCCGGATCGACGATATGTCTTGGAATCCATGGAGAGCCACCAACACAGCATCATCATCATCATCGAGCGGCGTAGAACCATCGCGTTACCAGCGAGCATGCGGCAACCCGAGTAGTGCTCTGGGTTTGTGCATTACTAGGAGTACGGTCATTGCGAAGTGCAAGGGTTTACTGGCGTTTATCATGGATACCCACTGAGGTCTTTAGAGCTTCTACAAAACGAACGAAATATCATCGATTTCTAATACATCTTCCGGCTTGGTGATGTTGTGGATGCAGTGTTACGCGCTTCTGATAACAAAGCATTTCAGGAGATAGGTATGCCAAATCTACCGAAAATGTCTAGGGATGTGTCACCTACACTGAGCATAATGGGAGGGATGTGGCGACGGACGGGGTTTGACATCGTTGAAGTTTTGGCTGACTGGGACGTAGTTGATTACAGTGCTGCGAAGCCGCTTCTGTGTTCTCTTCTTCCGTCGTGTAAGACAGGTACGTGTAGACTTGTTCTTCTTTCTCCATGTGCAGAACTAATCGCATCTTTCTTTCGAGTGACACTCCGATCCTATGCGTTCCAGTCGAATACGACTAGTTTTCCATTGCCACATGCATCTCTCTGGCAAATATGTTGCTCTTAGACTAACATAGCTCGGACATAGACGTAGATAATTCCAGATACGTGTAATTGTCACCTGGAATTAGTGTTAGGTTAAATGTCTTTTGGTCGTAGCCGAGCTCGTCCGAGTAGGTGTTTACTAAATACATATCTTCAGCATAAGGTACTTGTTGGGGCTCTAGTTCTATGTCTACACCTGAGTCCATTGTAATGTTCTCGGTTACTGCCTCTTTAGCATTAGGGCTGAGCGGAGCTTGTTTAGATAGTTATGGAATTCACGATCTGGGCATATTATCTGTTCTCTAGTCCTTTGCTTCGAGTATGATGGCGCAGTGCGAGTGAGCATTTCACTATGTTGAAGTTAAAGATCTGAACTTTCATCTTGTTGCGCAACTTACCTAATGCTAGATACTAGTTACTGTTACTACGCAGCATAGAGCCTACATTACCGTGAAGTTAGCTCCTTTGCATGTTTTCATCTTGATGTAGTCTCCCCTGCTAGCGGTTCGACAATTCTGCAGTCGAATGTTGACGTTGGCCGCGCCTTCCTTCAACAGGTCGCTCTCACCTCACTCACCTCCGACCAGCGCATTTGACCTCACCGCAGCGTATCCACCGTCCCCAACGAAATGCTTTACCTTCACCCCGTTTGCACGCCCTTCACTCACCAGCACCAACCACACCAGCATCCAGCATGAAGCTCCACATCCTCACCATCGCAGTGCTCGCGACACTGGCTTCGACACACGTCCTCCCTCCCAACTCCAGTCCCCTCACGAACCTCAACTACTACTCTGCCAACCTCAAAGACACACCCATAGACCATGTCGCCGCTACATTTGATCCCTCCACCGTCCACACCACCGCCGACCCCCCACCCCCCAACGCCAAATTCGACAAAGCAGTCTCCACGGGCCAAACCCTCGACTCCGCCATGAAATCCAAAGACAACATCGCGCGATGGCTCTTCAAAGACTTCCCGCAGTACGCCGAAACATGCCAGTCCCCGTTCACCGGCGACGGGCGTGCCGACCTCGCGAAATGGGGTTTCGATGACAGTGACGCACTCAGCGAGAAGATAAAGAATGAGTGCGACTTTGATGCGTATCATAAGATCAAGGCGGCGTTTGACGAGATCGGGCTGAATACCAAGGCGGCGAAGGATGGGGGGCCGAATCGGTGTTTTAAGGTTAATCATCGGGATGGGCCGGCGATTAAGAGGGATGAGAAGGGGGAGTTGCCGAATGAGGCGAAGCAGTATTATGATGTTTGCGGGAGGGAATATAGGGTCTGTTTCCCATCCCCTCCCCTCCAACCCAACTCACGACATTTGCTGACGCAAACCCCCAGGCCACAGGCGCATCCTACGAGTTCGCCGCCAACCCCTCCGGCCTCCTCGCCCTCATGAACATCATGTCCATGACCTACTCCGCAAAAACCTACACCTGGTTCCGCACGCCCCTGCCCTCTGAACTCCCGGACATAGGCACAACACAGGACATTGCTTGGGCCATGTGGAACCGCGTCGGCGCGCCTAGTCTGGCTGGGCTCAAGTACCTGCTTGTGACGCAGGGGATGAATGCGGGGAGTAGAGAGATATTTCGGCATGCGTTGGGGTTGCTGGAGCCGCCGGAGAGTGAGTATAAGGTGTGGCCGGGGCATGAGTTTGTGATGGATGGGAAGGGGAAGGGGGGGAAGGGGGGGTTGGCTATACTGGGTATGTTGAAGTTTCTCCTATCCTGACGACCAGGAGATGGGAAGGATAATAAGCTAACGAGAGTCCAGGCTCACCAGTAGGTCGATGGGCGGGGTATTTGCTGCTTCAGCATAAGGAACAGCTTGGCGGAAACAGGTACATCGAGAAGGTGAGGCTGTTCAAACCACCCGGGGCGAGTCTGCCGTATCTTCTCTTCTACGTGGCGAAGGATCCGTGGGTCGGAGAAGTCAAGCCGGTGGCTGCGCACATGGTGGATGGGATGAACGGGACAGATGTCACACGAGACGCGACTTCGAGGGTGGTGGATGAGAAGAACCTCATCAGACAGCATGTTGTCGTTGTCCGAACCTAGGATGTTGCAACGAAGAAGGTTTTGGTGAGTGTACGATGGTTGCAATGGCTTTCGGGAGGATCTGAAAGACGAGGAAAGTTGTACTAGCTCTTAAGATTTCTGTAGACGCAGCAGTCCAGCAAACCCAACTCGAACAAACACATACATCTACACAAAATCAAAAACATCCCCCTTATCCCCCACCATCCTCCCCACCCTCTTCCCGCCCACAATCCTCTCCAACTCCATCCTCTCCCACCGCGAAAAACACACCTTAACACTCGCTTCCGCCCTGCTAATCTCTGCCCGCTCAATCGACTTGCCCACGAAACCCACAACCTCGTCGTAAAACACGGGATTCTCAGGAACGCCGTAAAAGACCACTCTCTTCACACCCCTGAGATTATAGCGATGGAAATGGTGGGCGCGGCCGGTATACAGCAATAAGCTGTGTTTCCCGTTCATGAAATGGGACCGCGCCTTGCGGACATCGGTTGCGTCGGTGTATTCACTGATGGATGCGTATGCGATATCGGAATCCACAAGTGAGTTGCGGACGCGGACGAAATCTAGGTAAGATGGTATGAAGACCAATACGCCCAACCCGCCATCTGGGCTTTTCGGTAACCGGGTTATAGACGGCAGGATAGATGTATTGAAGAACTTAAACCGCGCATCAGGGTCTGTGAGGTGAGATGGGGAGTCGAACCGCGTGAACGTTTGTTTTATACCCCAGGAGAGTGACTCGATAAGTCCGGCCGTGTGGTCCGGAGTGTATTTCAGGCGGCCGGCGTAGTTGCGCATATATCTGTTATACAAGACGTTTATCTTCGGCGTCAAAAACGCACTCAGCACAATCGTCTGGCGGATGTAAGGCGCATGGCCATCTAAATACCAACTCCTCACGCGCGAAAAGTCGCAGCCGTGCGCGTCTTTCGGCTGGAGATTTAGGTGTTCGAAGACGTATTCTGCGTGCTCCCAGTTTTGCATTAGCGCTGCGTCGGCTTGTTCCATGATGACCATTTCGATGGACGACAAGAAATCCGAGTCGCGTTTCTTGGGGTCCCCGGTCTCGATGGCGCGGCGTAGACCAAGGGTAGAGGCGAAGATGATGTCCGAGTTGTAGAAGGTGGAGTAGAATTTGAGGGTTTTGCGGGTGAGCTTTACGCCGATGCGGAATTCGTTTTCGTCGTTTCCTTCGAAGAGTTCGCGGAAGTCGGCGGGGCGGTCGGGTGAGAATTTGTCTTCGGGCAGGGAGAAGCTGTCGAGGAAGCGCTTCTTGTTTTCTTGCTGCTCAAAGTCGTGGAGTTTGGTTAGGCTGTCTAGGACGCGGACGCAGGCTTGTTTCGTCTCGAGGAGGAAGAGGATCTTGGGACGTGTGAAACCTTGGTCGCGGTATTCGACGTCTGGGTCGTCGTCTTTTGCTGTGGCTAGCTTGGCGTTGTTCTTGAGTACTCGGTCGCGCGTCATGAGGATGTGGTTTAGGGCGTGTAGACAGGTGATGTCTCGTAGACGGCCGGCATTTTGCACCGTTCTTGCGCCGAACAGCAGATCTTGGTAGCCAAATATCGAGGGTGCGATGGCTTGTTCCAGCTCATCAAAAGCGCCGACCTTGTTCTGTGCGTTGTCCACCAGCCGCGCTTTCAATTGGACGTCGCGCACACTTCTTAGCTTCCTGTTCGGCTTGACCTCGTCGCTGGGAACCTGGAGTATGCCTACTCCCTTCCCAGATGCTCGATCCAGCTTCTGTGATGTCCACTGATTGGCAGCTATCCGCTTGAGTCGCGTCGCTAGTTCGTTCTCGTTGGGGTTCGCAAAGTGTTTCTGGTAGGCCTGCTCGAGCTCTTGCTCTTCTCGATCGTCTTCGTCCGCGTCTTCGTCGTTCTCAACGTCTGCCTGCTCGCCCTCGGCCTCGTCGCCTTCCAGGGTGGTAGATTCAGCGTCGTCGTCTAATTCGACCTCCTGTTCAGGCTCGTAGTGCTCCAGCTTCCGCCTCTTCTTGCGATGCTCTTCCGAACCAGTATTGCGCGACGAGAAAGACTGCAGGAGAGTCGCATAGGCGTTCGAGATGGGTTGCGCTTCTTCTTCTTCTTCTTCGTCCGGGGCATCGTCTTCTGATACGTCGGATTCGCTCTCGTCAGATGGGGTGGGTTCGCGCATGGGGATGTTTCTGGTACTGTTAGGATTGGACTAATGCACCCGCGACCAATATCCGTACTCACGAATCTTCGACCTCGTCTCGTGTTCTCGCTGCGGCAAATCCGCCTCTTCCACGACCTCTCATGCCGCCTCTGCCCCTTCCCATTCCAACACCTCTACTGCCGCCCCTTCCTCCTCCACGAAAGCCGCCTCGTCCACGAGATCCGCCTCGTCCTCTCATTGGCGCCATGTCGGTTGCGCCGGTGTGCGCCGGTGTATGCGCTGATGGGAGGGAAGTCTTTCGAGGGGCTTGGATATTTTTGCAGTGTCGGTTGAATGTGAATCTAGGGCGTGACTATCTTTTCTACAAGCAGAGAGAGGTGAGATAGGTGTGGTGACGATCGTATGGTCGCGTTGGGATGGATGTCGGGAAAAAGTTCAGATGGTCCGTGCAAGCGAACGCACCTGCCCAGATTTCGTGAAGAATATCGCTGCGTGCCCCACCAACCACATTTGACGTCCCCCGAGCGCCTCACCACCACGCCCACGACGCCAGACCCCATCGCCATTACCACCGCCACCATGGCCGAGAACGACTCCTTCCTGCATCTGGCGCGCCCGCTCGGCCCCGCCTCCATGGGCGCCCAGCCGTCGACTGCCCCGCTGAACGTCGCTATCCAGCCCCAGGTATGCGACAAGCCAAGCGAGAGGCTGCCTGCTCTACTCTCTGACACGCAATACTAGGCCGTCTTCTCCATCCTCGACCACTCCCTCCGCCGCCCCGCCGAGCAAGAACGCGTCATCGGCACCCTCCTCGGCACCCGCAGCGAAGACGGCACCGAGATCGAGATCCGCAACTGCTATGCCGTCCCCCACACCGAGACGGCTGAACAGGTCGAGGTCGACATGGACTACCAGAAGCAGATGCTCGCCCTGCACCTGCGCGCCAACCCCCGCGAAGTCCTCGTCGGCTGGTACGCGACCAGCAGCGACCTCAACACCTTCTCCGCCCTCATCCAGAACTTCTACAGCCAGCAAGGCGACGGCACATGGCCACACCCCGCCGTCCACCTGACTGTCTCGACCGTCCCCGGCCAGGAGATTGAGTCCAAGACCTACATTTCCGCGCCCATTGGTGTCACCGCCGAGCGCGCCGCCGACTCATGCCTCTTCATCCCCGTGCCCCACGAGATCAAGTACGGCGAGGCCGAGCGGTCAGGCCTGGAGCTCATCTCGTCCGCCAAGGACCGCGAGGACCGGTCGCAGGACGTCATGACGGACCTCGACTCGCTGGAGACGGCCATCACACACGTCCTGGACATGCTCGAGCGCGTCTCCAACTACGTCAACAACGTGCTGGACGAGGAGGCCGAGCCATCTTCGGCGCTGGGTCAGTTCCTGATGAACGCACTCAGCCTGGCACCCAAGGTCGAGCCCGCCGACATTGAGCGCGACTTGTACGTTACAATCATTTATCCTACCAGACATGTGCTAACAAGCACAGCAACGCACACATCCAAGACGTCCTCGTCGTATCATACCTCGCCAACACCATTCGCACACAAATCGATCTCTCGAACCGTCTCGCAACCGCCGCGCTCACCATGGGCGGTGGCGACCCTCTCGCTGGCGATGGCAAGAAGGACGGCGACAACAGGGGCAAGGGCGGCGACCGACGAGGTGGCGGCAAGGGTAGGCAACAAAGGGAACAGGAGGCATGAATGGGATGAAAAGGCACACTGCATGGAGTTTGGCGTTCTAGTGACATGCCACTGCTAACGCAGTAAGCGCGGCATAGCGCTCGGGGAACAAGAAAGAAAAGGCTGCGCGTCTGGATACGAAGGGCAATGGGCCGAGATGATGAGGAGAGGCGAGCGAGCTGAAGCATGAATGAACCGCTCGCTCGCTGGCGAAGTAGAGCACTGTATGGTGCGCTGTATCACTACTGCTTTGTTCTGATGGCAGCACTGATGGCATTTGACCAGATGCATGAGGCTTGATGGAATAAACACGATCAAACAGAAGCTGGAGATTGCGGACATTGCAGTGTGATCATATTGACGTATACGGTTCTAGGTGACTCTTTCCACTCCTGTCTGAAGTGACTGAAGATGTCCCTCACCTTTACCTCATTTCTCAGACACCACAATCACACAACACCAAAACTACTGCACTACCCACCATATGGCATCAAATATGCTCAATAAGCGAGTAACAAGAACGAACGCCTCGATCTCTAATCGAATTGACAGCGCTGCGGAAGCCTCTCGCAGGTGAGTGCCGGTGTTCTTACCTTGCACGATATCTCGTAGGAAGTCGCGCAGGACATTCCATAGCTCCTGCGATCGATTACTGACTGCTTTCAGGCCATCACCACGTCCAATCACTTGACAACGAAAGCGACTGAGACTGAAATTGGCAGTGACGACGATGACGACTATGAAATCGGCAATTTAGCGAATAATTTGAATCCGTACCAATGGCAGATGCCCTTAAGCTTGGTTACTTCGATCTCATTGACCGCGTTCACCATGACGAATTAAAACGCCACCATCCCTTGATCAGAGACACGCAATTGATCGAATGCCGCTGACATTGGATTGGCACCCTTGCTAGTGTGTCCAAGGAAGTCCTCTCGGGCCTTGTCAATGGAGACTTGGCTGAACGTCACATGGATGGCAATCCCGCTTTCTCGAGACTGTATGGTGCACCAGGCCCCATGGAAGACGCTGGACAAGTCGTGACCTCGGAACAGAAAGTGCCTTGTCTGTAAGCGTGCGCTTTGCTTGACAACCATGGCAATCCGCCCACCCCCGAACAAGAATTGAGAATCGTATCGATCATGCGCCGCTACATCGGCGACCACCCTGGAAATCTTGATC